ACAGAAACCATTGGCTGATCCCGAATAGTAGTAATTGGTATACAAGATCTATAAGAAGGTCAATATGACAGAAACCATTGGCTGATCCCGAATAGTAGTAATTGGTATACAAGATCTATAAGAAGGTCAATATGACAGAAACCATTGGCTGATCCCGAATAGTAGTAATTGGTATACAAGATCTATAAGAAGGTCAATATGACAGAAACCATTGGCTGATCCCGAATAGTAGTAATTGGTATACAAGATCTATAAGAAGGTCAATATGACAGAAACCATTGGCTGATCCCGAATAGTAGTAATTGGTATACAAGATCTATAAGGTCAATATGACAGAAACCATTGGCTGATCCCGAATAGTAGTAATTGGTATACAAGATCTATAAGGTCAATATGACAGAAACCATTGGCTGATCCCGAATAGTAGTAATTGGTATACAAGATCTATAAGAAGGTCAATATGACAGAAACCATTGGCTGATCCCGAATAGTAGTAATTGGTATACAAGATCTATAAGAAGGTCAATATGACAGAAACCATTGGCTGATCCCGAATAGTAGTAATTGGTATACAAGATCTATAAGAAGGTCAATATGACAGAAACCATTGGCTGATCCCGAATAGTAGTAATTGGTATACAAGATCTATAAGAAGGTCAATATGACAGAAACCATTGGCTGATCCCGAATAGTAGTAATTGGTATACAAGATCTATAAGAAGGTCAATATGACAGAAACCATTGGCTGATCCCGAATAGTAGTAATTGGTATACAAGATCTATAAGAAGGTCAATATGACAGAAACCATTGGCTGATCCCGAATAGTAGTAATTGGTATACAAGATCTATAAGAAGGTCAATATGACAGAAACCATTGGCTGATCCCAAATAGTAGTAATTGGTATACAAGATCTATAAGAAGGTCAATATGACAGAAACCATTGGCTGATCCCGAATAGTAGTAATTGGTATACAAGATCTATAAGAAGGTCAATATGACAGAAACCATTGGCTGATCCCGAATAGTAGTAATTGGTATACAAGATCTATAAGAAGGTCAATATGACAGAAACCATTGGCTGATCCCGAATAGTAGTAATTGGTATACAAGATCTATAAGGTCAATATGACAGAAACCATTGGCTGATCCCGAATAGTAGTAATTGGTATACAAGATCTATAAGGTCAATATGACAGAAACCATTGGCTGATCCCGAATAGTAGTAATTGGTATACAAGATCTATAAGAAGGTCAATATGACAGAAACCATTGGCTGATCCCGAATAGTAGTAATTGGTATACAAGATCTATAAGGTCAATATGACAGAAACCATTGGCTGATCCCGAATAGTAGTAATTGGTATACAAGATCTATAAGGTCAATATGACAGAAACCATTGGCTGATCCCGAATAGTAGTAATTGGTATACAAGATCTATAAGAAGGTCAATATGACAGAAACCATTGGCTGATCCCGAATAGTAGTAATTGGTATACAAGATCTATAAGAAGGTCAATATGACAGAAACCATTGGCTGATCCCGAATAGTAGTAATTGGTTTACAAGATCTATAAGGTCAATATGACAGAAACCATTGGCTGATCCCAAATAGTAGTAATTGGTATACAAGATCTATAAGAAGGTCAATATGACAGAAACCATTGGCTGATCCCGAATAGTAGTAATTGGTATACAAGATCTATAAGAAGGTCAATATGACAGAAGCCATTGGCTGATCCCGAATAGTAGTAATTGGTATACAAGATCTATAAGAAGGTCAATATGACAGAATCCATTGGCTGATCCCGAATAGTAGTAATTGGTATACAAGATCTATAAGAAGGTCAATATGACAGAAACCATTGGCTGATCCCGAATAGTAGTAATTGGTATACAAGATCTATAAGAAGGTCAATATGACAGAAACCATTGGCTGATCCCGAATAGTAGTAATTGGTATACAAGATCTATAAGAAGGTCAATATGACAGAAACCATTGGCTGATCCGGAATAGTAGTAATTGGTATACAACTTACAAGATCTATAAGAAGGTCAATATGACAGAAACCATTGGCTGATCCCGAATAGTAGTAATTGGTATACAAGATCTATAAGGTCAATATGACAGAAACCATTGGCTGATCCCGAATAGTAGTAATTGGTATACAAGATCTATAAGAAGGTCAATATGACAGAAACCATTGGCTGATCCCGAATAGTAGTAATTGGTATACAAGATCTATAAGAAGGTCAATATGACAGAAACCATTGGCTGATCCCGAATAGTAGTAATTGGTATACAAGATCTATAAGAAGGTCAATATGACAGAAACCATTGGCTGATCCCGAATAGTAGTAATTGGTATACAAGATCTATAAGGTCAATATGACAGAAACCATTGGCTGATCCCGAATAGTAGTAATTGGTATACAAGATCTATAAGAAGGTCAATATGACAGAAACCATTGGCTGATCCCGAATAGTAGTAATTGGTATACAAGATCTATAAGAAGGTCAATATGACAGAAACCATTGGCTGATCCCGAATAGTAGTAATTGGTATACAAGATCTATAAGAAGGTCAATATGACAGAAACCATTGGCTGATCCCGAATAGTAGTAATTGTCCATAAAAAGCTGGAAATGACAAACTAGAGGCTCTTTATATTTAGCGCCTGTGTTGCTCATCTGGATATATGTACATCTTCTATTGCCGCTCTAAAAACAGTTTGATGTCAACGGACAGTAGACAGATCTCAACATTCTGAACAATTCTGCCCCTTACTGCCCCCCCCCCCCCCCCCCCCCCCCCCCGCCCCCACCTAACATATTTCGTATAACCAGGTTGTTTTGGTCATACATTGAAATAAAATCCTCAGGATCAATGGATACGTTTTATTGTGAAGTAATATATATAATGACCCTGCGCCTGTGTTGCTCATCTGGATATATGAACATCTTCTATTGCCGCTCTAAAAACAGTTTGATGTCAACGGACAGTAGACAGATCTCAACATTCTGAACAATTCTGCCCCTTACTGCTCATCCCCCCCCCCCCCCCCTCACCGGCCGCCCCCACCTAACATATTTCGTATAATCAGGTTGTTTTGGTCATACATTGAATTAAAACCCTCAGGATCAATGTATACGTTTTATTGTGAAGTAATATATATAATGACCCTGCAATACAAATACAAATAATCAGTATAAAGAAAGATAACTCTATTCATTTTAGATAACAATATCCAAAATACAGTACGCAAATATTTCCTACTGGACAACTATTATATATATATGGTTTTCGATGATTTAGGATAGCCTGCAATCGAATTTTGGCGGTAATGAATATATAGTTATGGAAATTCATCTATATTATGGAAAACCTGAAATATTTAAATGAACTCCCAAAATGAGCAATTTTGACTGATTATTTGTGGAAGTCCTGAATCATTTCTTGATAGCCGGAAAACGATTTTAAAGGACAACCCTTTTCCACAAACATGTCATTTATAAGTGACTGGTGTGTACTTTTGTGTGTGTAAGATCTAATGCCGACTAAACCATTTGAACACATAAATCATGTTTATAAGGTTTATCGCCAGTGTGTGTTCTTTCAAGTGTTTCTGTAAGATTGGGCCTTGCTCAACCCATTTCCACAAACATCTCATTTATAAGTGACTGGTGTGTATTTGTGTGTGTGTAAGATCTAACGCTGACTAAACAATTTGATAACCTACACCATGTTTATAAGGTTTATCGCCAGTGTGTATTCTCAAGCATTTCTGTGAGCTCGGGCTAGTGCTCAACTCTTTTCCACGAACATCTCATTTTAAAGTGACTAGTGTGTATTTTTGTGTGTGCAAGATATATAGCTAACTAACCCATTTGATCACATACACCACGTTTATGAGGTTTATCGCCAGTGTGTGTTCTCTGACTCAGGCTCGTGATTAATCCTTTTCTATAAAGATCTCATTTTTAGAGACTAGTGTTTTATTTTGAGTGTGTGTGTTAACATCGTTTTGTAAAGAATTGGGTCAAAATCAAATTGTAATACATCTTTTAACCTCTTTATTATGACAAGAATCATCATATCAATTTCAGGATAATAAGTGAACCAGAATAAATATCTCATCAAATTTTGTCTAATGATTTATCGATGAAAGCAGAATACCACCATTTTTGTGGTCATGAGAAAAAACAGTTCTTAGATTAATAACCGCCTCAGTGGTCTCATATTATTTACTTTCATGTTTATTTTACTAAACCCATGTTAACATATTTACTTTGCTTTAACCCATGTTAATTAACTTTCCTTAAACCCATGTTGAAACATCTACTTTCCTTTAAACCATGTTAATTTACTTCCATTTAACCCCAAAACTTTTAAAATTTATATTTGCGGCACATGACACTTGGGAGTAAGAGCAAACAAATTAATTGCCTTGGAATCAAGGAGGAGACACATAAACAATATTAAAACCACATAATCATTTTCTCATCCTGAATATGGTTAATTGGTTGTTTTCTCAACCTGAAGACGGTTAATTGGTTGTTTTTTTCAATCCGAAGAACGTTAATTGGTTGTTTTCTCAACCTGAATATGGTTAATTGTTTGTTTTCTCAATCTGAAGATGGTTAATTGGTTGTTTTCTCATCCTGAAGATGGTTAATTGGTTGTTTTCTCATCCTGAAGATGGTTAATTGGTTGTTTTCTCATCCTGAATATGGTGAATTGGTTGTTTTCTCAACAGGAAGATGGTGAATTGGTTGTTTTCTCAACCTGAAGATGGTTAATTGGTTGTTTTCTCATCCTGAATATGGTTAATTGGTTGTTTTCTCATCCTGAATATGGTTAATGGGTTATTCTCTCATCCTGAAGATGGTTAATTGGTTGTTTTCTCATCCTGAATATGGTTAATTGGTTGTTTTCTCATCCTGAATATGGTTAATTGTTTTTTTTCATAAATCCACCCTCATATAAATGATTAAAACATTATAAAATTTAAAAGAAATTTAATATGAACTTGAAACATTATGAAGATAAATCATCTACCGGTATACATTAACAAATATGAAACAGTTATAGTGTAAATATAAAATTCTAATAAATATAAATAAATACATAAATAAACTCATCATAGATACCAGGATAACAATATAAATGCATTTTAGCTATAAGTTTACAAAATGTCATACCGGTATACCTTTTAGCTAAGCTTATATTATTTTGTTTTCAAAATGGTACCAGACTTAAGAACAGTGTTCAGCACCATAAAGATTGGAAAGGGTATCATTATCAATTAAAATTGGTAAATTCAAGATTGGACAATATTGTGTTAGGACCGATGTTGTTTGGTACTATTCAAATGAACACCCTTTGGCACTATAAAGATTGGACAATATTGCGTCAAGACCAGTGTCAATTGGTACTATTTTAATGAACAGCCATTAGCACCATAAAGATTGCAAAATTCCCAAGTGTAAGAAGTTGATCAATTGTCATAGGACCAACCAATGAAAATGCATGAAGATGGTAATGGTAGTTTAAAAAATGCTTCAACTAAAGAATGGTTTAAGGATGTTCGCTACTCTTGTTTTTGACTTTTTTGTCAGATATTTGGAATCCTCGAGTTTTATCCATGTAGTCCCAATAAAAAAAATTTCCTCTAAACCCTACTTTTCTGTTCATAATTTTTATACATATTGTTTGACAAGCCATTTATGAAAATCTTATAAAAATCCATGTTTTTTTTTCATAGTTTTTGAAAGAAAAAAGATGCCAATGTCAAATGTATGAAAAATCTAGAGAGAATCATTTCCCGCCAAATTTTCAATTGATTATATCTCGAAAACAAGGTGATGGACCTATCATTTTTTTCTGCTTTTTACTTTCTGTTATTTATATACTATCAATTTATAACATTCATTTAAAAAGCTTGTTATTTTTAAACAGAGGAGTGAACATCCTTAATTATTGTAGCACCGAAGCCGCATATAACTAATTATAGCAAAATTTGTATGTTATGCAGAATTTGTCTTTTGTGATGGCAAGTATCTGAATAAAACTATAATGGAAATATTAAGGCCCCATATTTATGAAAATTGGGTAAGGAGTCTGGGGCCTTGGGTCCCCTGGGTTCCAAACAGGTCCAATTTTGGTCAAGCGGGGCAAATAATAATTTACAGATCTAATATTGTTTTGTCAGTCATAGAGGTACATACTTTGAGCATAGACTATTTTACCTTGGAGCAAAGTCTGGGGACTAATTCATAACTTAAATTGCAACCCTAGATGAAGCCAAGGCGGAAAGACATCACTCAAGTAATGAAAGCACAGTGAAACCTGAGTTGCCTTGATGTCACAGAAGCATAGGTTCAAATACCACTGCAAATTGCCAAATAAATCTTTTAAGATATAATATATTTTAGCGAAGTTAACCTCTATGTTCTTGATTTATAAATTTATAAAATTGTATAATTCAGATTGCATAACCGATTGCATATCAAATTGCTGGTAATTTTCATTCCAAATTTATTCTATCATTATAAGTTCAGAGTTCATGCTGAAGACTTAGTATCACATTCATTTGAGGAAAGTGCTTTTGTAAGCAGATACAAGATTTTTCTACTAATCTGTAGTTTATCAGAAAGCTCATTTCATATCAACCTCAAAATTATTTCAGATTATTATTTATGTGGGGTGACAATACCGTTTCACTGAAGCTACAGAAATTGTATTGAAACCATGCAAAAATATTTCATTCATAAATTAAGAATCATGTGCCATTTTTGTGAATGAAACCTTAAAGGAAAGAAGATCCATGCACGTAATTTATGAATGAATTGACCTCATAACTTTTTTATCACGATAAGTCAAATAATACTGACATCAAAGGAACAAAAATGTGTCCATAGTACACCGAGTACACTGATGCCCTACTCTCACTATCATTTTCTATGTTCAGTGGACCGTGAAATTGGGGTCAAAACTCTAATTTGGCATTAAAATTAGAAAGATCATATCATAGGGAACATGTGTACTAAGTTTCAGGTTGTTTGGACTTCAACTTCATCAAAAACTACCTTGACCAAAAACTTTAACCTGAAGTGGGACAGATGGATGTACAGACGGACGAATTAATTGACGAATGGACGCACAGACCGAAAAACATAATGATTAACTATGATATGGCAAGAAAAGCAATGGATAATTCAACATCATTGTTACATAATAATTGTATATTAAACAATACACATCTTAAAAGTTTTCAGATAGTATATTTAAAGGGGCATGAGCTGTCAAGTTCACTGATTTGACTCAAATTCTCATATTTGATTTTAATATAACATACTAAAACGTATATCCAAATTAGAAAAAGTCTAATATAAACAATTTACAATATATGAACTCAATAATATGTGTGTATTTTAGTTTAGACACCATCTAATTAACCATCAAGATTACCTCAAAACACTGCAGAAGGTCACATGGCCCGAGAACACAGTTATTTCGTAGTGCATTTCTTTTAGACAATAAATTCAAATTAAAAAAATCGCACCTGCTCTATCTCAAAAAGATTTTTACAGTGTAGTGTACTATTATTGATACAAATAATATCAAAATTATAGAAACTTCTACCAGCTCTAACTCAAAATATTGACAATTCTGTGTTAAGGGGGGCTAAAATTCAGTTTGACAGCTTCAGACATTCTAATTTTTGACCTTTTTTAACAGGACCAAATCACTACTTAACATAAAGATTCAGCACCCAAATTTTTTTAACATGTAATTTCATCCCCTTACTTAATATTTCATGCATAAAATATCAAGAAATAAATTGGGAAAGTGTATAAAAAAAAAATGCAAGTTATACACTGTTCACACTAGGGACTATATTCGTAGACAACGAAAACCAAAGAACGATAACTGTGTCCTTGGACCACATAACCTGATATAAACATAAATATAAATGCATAGTGAGCATGTGCAATTGGATTTTTCTAGGTCTGTTTGATTTCATGTTATAGGTTAAACAAATATGTTAATCATAATTTTTACCTGTATAAGGATGATTTTTTGTGCATTGAATCAGTCAACCAAATGGTTTACCCTTGTTTCATTTTCAATATTGATAGTTCATGCGTAATCCATCTCAAGCTAAGGGATTAAATTGAAGATCACATGAATACAGATTCAATTAAGGTTGAATTATTGACTTGTAAGTCAATAACACATCAGCGATGTTTTTGAGTTTATTTTGAGAAATTTGAGCAAAACTGACTGCTTATAACGAAATATTATTTCAAAACAAAAAGAATCATAATTTGATTTTTTGTTTAAATCATAGCTAATGACCCTTTTAAAAGTTTTCAGATAGTATTATATATATATAAGTAATTTAAACTTTTTATTTCCATTTTAGTTTAGAATTGTACAGATTCAGTGGGACAACAATATGGATTTATTTTAGTTCAGAATTGTTCTGATTGTGGGACAACAATATGGATTTAATTTTAGTTCAGAATTGTTCTGATTGAGGGACAACAATATGGATTAAATTTTAGTTCAAAATTGTCCTGATTGTGGGACAACAATATGGATTAAAATTTAGTTCAGAACTGTTTTGATTGAGGGACAACAATATGGATTAAACTTTAGTTCAAAATTGTCCTGATTGTGGGACAACAATATGGATTAAATTTTAGTTCAAAATTGTTCTGATTGTGGAACAACAATATGGATTAAATTTTAGTTAAGAATTGTTCTGATTGTTAGACAGCAATATGGATTAAATTTTAGTTCAGAATTGTTCTGATTGAGGGACAACAATATGGATTTAATTTTAGTTCAGAACTGTTCTGATTGAGGGACAACAATATGGATTAAATTTTAGTTCAAAATTGTCCTGATTGTGGGACAACAATATGGATTAAATTTTAGTTCAAAATTGTTCTGATTGTGGGACAACAATATGGATTAAATTTTAGTTTAGAATTGTTCTGATTGTTGGACAGCAATATGGATTAAATTTTAGTTCAGAATTGTTCTGATTGAGGGACAACAATATGGATTTAATTTTAGTTCAGAACTGTTCTGATTGAGGGACAACAATATGGATTAAATTTTAGTTCAAAATTGTTCTGATTGTGGGACAACAATATGGATTAAATTTTAGTTTAGAATTGTTCTGATTGTTGGACAGCAATAGGGATTAAATTTTAGTTTAGAATTGTTCTGATTGTTGGACAGCTATATGGATTAAATTTTAGTTCAAAATTGTTCTGATTGTTGGACAACGATATGGATTAAATTTTAATTCAAAATTGTTCTAATTGTTGGACAACAATATGGATTAAATTTTAGTTCAAAATTGTTTTGATTTTTTGTGGGACAACAATATTGATTAAATTTTAGTTTAGAACTGTTCTGATTGTGGGACAAAACTATGGATTAAATTTTAGTTTAAAATTGTATTGATTATGGATTAAATTTTACATGTTTACAACATGTATTGTAATTTAGGAACTTTTAACTCCATTCATCAAATTTTTCTTTGTTTGAGTAATGGTAACTGCTGCATCTGCAAACTCAATGATGGCTCTGTCTAACCATGTTATTGTGTCAGGGGTAAAATACCCTCCTTCAAAAAATCCAAGATGGCCACCATGCTTAGTTAAAGTCAGCACACAGTTTTCATGAGACTCTGAAATATAAGATAAAGATCAATTTTTTAATTTGCAATCAAAGTTTGATAATTTGCCCTATATGCAGGATATATAGAAAACTAATTTTATTGCCATGGACCTTAGCCAATAAAATGGTCAAGATATGTTTACATATTGCCTCTTTAATTTATGATAACTGAGCTTTTGACAGTATATACCTTGAATTGATTTATATGCGACCTTTTTCTTATAAAATGTGCATGATACCTAAAAAATAAAAAGCATGAAAATGAGGTCAAGGTCAGGTAATCCCTATTAGACAGTTACAAGGTTTTGTAAAAGGACGTCTCGTCCTTTTTCTCAAAAAGTTTGTCGGAAAGTACCAAGACCTAATACATATAATATTCAGTGTCTACTTCACAAATCATGTAGGATGGTCTTGAGTTATAGATTCTTGGTGCTGATGTTGTGTATTATTTCATTTACTTTACAGTTTTCCCTTTTTTTTTGTCTTTTTTGTACTATATTGTTTCATTTGGTCGTCGCTCTGTAGTTCGGTTTTCGGCTTTGGAGGTTCCTACTGCAGGAGGGTCTAGAAGTGTGATTCGGAAGCACAAGGTTTTTATAGTGTTGTTTTCATTTTGTATACCCTTGTATTTTCATTTTACTCAATTTGTACTTTATCAGGAATGTGAATATATCATTATGTTAAACTATAGTGTATATACAATGGTTGGGGTACTTACAGGTCATCTCTAGCATTCAGTAACTAGAGGTTCTAAAGAGCCTGTGTAGCTCACCTCTTCAACAATGGCCACATTTAAGTAAAACATCATCATTAAAAGGGCAATAACTCTATTAGGGGTTAACTGGCAATTTCAGTCATGTTGACTTATTTGTAGAGCTTATCCTGCTGATCATTTTTCTTTTTATCCAGTAAAGTGGCAAAATAATCAACTTATTGATGGTGGCCGCGTATTGGTAGAAGTAGAAGTAGAAGAAAAGTTTTAAAGATAATAGGCAAAAAAACACAAAAAAAAATGGTAGAAATAATCATTACAGGGAAATAATTCCATTACGAGTTGACTGAAGATTTTTGCTATTCAAAGTTTCTATCTATCTATTATAGTTTTCAAGATAATAAACAAACATGCAAATAAAATGCTCCGCTGGGCGCAGCTTGATACGACCACAGAAATCGAACCCTGAACAGCTGGGGCAAGTATGGACACAATATTCAAGCTTGATACAGCACTGAATATGGATTGTGATTAAATATTTGACACAGCATAGGTTTCTGACACAGAATGAATGTGGTCTAAGAACTTAAAAATTCTTAATTTACCTATTCAAACCATATTATTATTATTTGATTTTATATATAAATCAGAAATAACCAATTTAAAATGGAAAATTTTAAAGAAAAAAAAGGAAAAAAAAATCCCCCCCCAAATTTTTTGAACCCCCTTATGATTCATCACCCCAAACTCAATCCCGGCCTTCCCTTTGTGGTATGGTACCTTGCAGTACAATTTCAGAGAGATCCATACACTTGAACACAAGTTATTGTCTGGAAACTAGAAAAATGCTTGTTTTTTGGCCCCAAAAACCGAAACGTTTCGGGCAATTACCCACAAACTCAAACCCAGCTTTCCCTTTGTGATATGGAACCTTGTAGTACAATATCATAAAGATCCATACACTTACACACATGTTATTGTCCTGAAACTAGAAAAATGCTTGTTTTTTGCCCCTTTTTGGCCCCTAATTCCTAAAATTTTGAGGCAATTACCCCCTAAAATCAATCCCAGCCTTCCCTTTGTGGTATGGTACCTTGCAGTACAATTTCAGAGAGATCCATACACTTGAACACAAGTTATTGTCATGAAACAAGAAAAATGCTTGTTTTTTGCCCCTTTTTTGGCCCCTAATTCCTAAAATTTTGAGGCAATTACCCCCAAAATCAATCCCAGCATTCCCTTTGTGATATGGAACCTTGTGGTACAATATCAGAGAGATCCATACACTAACACAAGTTATGTCTGGAAGTTACAAAAATGCTTATTTTTGGCCCCTTTTTGGCCCCTAATTCCTTAACTGTTGGTACCATAACCCCCAAAATCAATTCCAACCTTCCTTTTGAGGTATTGAACCTTATCGTAAAATTTCATAGAGATCCATTCACTTTAACTAAATTTAGAGTGCAAAAACCAATGTGTGAAGACGGCGACATCGACGCCAACGTCATACCAATATACGACCGCAAAATTTTTTTGCGGTCCTATAAAAATTGACATTTAATCGCAATAACTTCAATAAGGTGTTGATTGACAATTTCGATCATGTTTGGACTTATTTGTAGATCTTGTCTAGTTGATCGTTTTTGCTGTTCAAAGTTTCGGTCTATCTATGATAAATTTCTAGATAATAGGCAATAAACAGCTGCACCATGAGCGCATGATATGCCCGTCCCATTTTCAAAGAATAAAGTTTAATACCTTCTCAATGTCATATCAGAAATTTATGAAAAACTAAAGGGAGGTTATCTTAATAGATATAAACCAGTCTCCAAAGTTTCATGAAAACTGCTCAAAGCACTTTAAAGATATTGTCTGAAAACTGGAAAATCATCCCTTTTATGAATAAAATCCCATAACTTGGAAACGTAAAATCTTAAATTTATAGAAATCGAAAGGGACCTTATGTCAATAGATATAAATAATTCACCAAAGTTCCATGAAAACTGCTGAAAGCATTTTTGAGTTATTGTCTGAAAACTGGAAAATCCCCCTTTTTTTAATGAATAAAACTCCATAACTCGGAAAAGTAAAGTCTAAAATTTATAAAAATTGAAAGGGAGCTCATGTCAATAGATATAAACAATTCACGAAAGTTTCTTGCAAAAAGGTGAAAGTGTTTTTGAGTTATTGTCCAAAAACTGGAAAATCCCCCTTTTTATATGCCCGTCAAAATTTTGACGGGACGTATTATGGTATACAAATGTCGTCTGTCCGGCTTAAACATGTCGCACCGTAACTTGAGAACGACTTATCCAAATTTCATGAAACGTAACATAGTTGTTTCTTATGATGGTCAAACGATCTGTCTACTTTTTGGTGAAAATAAGATTAAAACTTTTTGAGTTACTGGACTTAGTAACTAAAACAGGTGTGTGTTTTTTTTTTCACATGTCGCACTGTATCTCAAAAACAATTTATGATTATTGCTTAAAACTTTACACACTTCTTAGTTATATTAATCTCAAAATCTGTATACTTTTTGGTGATGATTCAAAATTTTATTTTTGAGTTATTGAGTATTTTGTAAAAAAAGGGGGAGGGGTTTTTCACAGTTTATGATTTTTGCTTAAAATTATACACACTTCTTAGTTTTATTAATCTAAAGATCTGTATACTTTTGGTTTTGATTCAAAATTTTATTTTAGAGATATTGATTTTTTTTTTAAAAAGGGGGGTTTTCACATGTCGCGGGGCGCCTCAATATCAATTTATGATTATTGCTTAAAATTTTACACACTCCTTAGTTATATTAATTTAAAGATCTGTATACTTTTTGGTTTTGATTCAAAATTTTATTTCAGAGATATTGAGTTTTTTGTAAAAACAAGAGGCTCTCAAGAGCCTGAATCGCTCACCTGTATTTCAGAGCAGAAGATTTTTAAATGTTAGCAAACTTGATGAACAAATTGTGTAAAATTGTCTTTAAAGGCAATAACTCCTTAAGGGGTCAATTGACAATTATGGTCATATAAACTTTTTTGTAGATCTTACTTTGCTGAACATTATTGCTGCTTACAGTTTATATATATCTATAATAATATTCAAAATAATAACAAAAAACTGCAAAATTTTGTTAAAACTACCAATTCGGTGGCAGCAACCCAACAATGGGTTGTTTGATTCGTCTGAAATTTTCAGAGCTGATAGATCTTGACCAATTGAACAATTTTACCCCATGTCAGATTTGCTCTAAAAGCTTTAGTTTTTGAGATATAAGCCAAAAACTGCATTTGACCCCTATGTTCTATTTTTAGCCATGGCGGCCATGTTTGTCGATGGATCAAAACTTCGGATACAATTTATAAACTAGATACCCTAAGGAACATTTAGTTAAAGTTTAAAGGTATTTGGCCCAGTAGTTTCAGAGGAGAAGATTTTTTAAATAGTTTACGACGACAGATGACGACGGACGACGATGGACGCCAAGTGATGGCATAAACTCACATGGGGCCCTTTGGGCCCCGGTGAGCTAAAAAGGGGGGTTTTCGCATGTCGCGCCTTATGTCAGAAACTATTTATGATTATTGCATAAAAATTCACACACAAGACGACGGGCGTATCATGAGCTCATGGCGCAGCTGTTTATTTAAAGAATAATACCCCATAACTGTAAAATCTAAAATTTATAAAATGATGAAAGGGAGCTCACGTCATTAGATATAATCAATTCACCAAAGTTTCATGCAAATTGGTTAAAGTGTTTTTGAGTTATTGTCATAGAAGTTGACGACGGACGGACCGACAACGGTATACCATAATACATCCCATAAACGGGCATAAAAAAATGAAAAAAATTGGTAAAATTCATCGTTTAACATGCTTAACGGCAGTAACTCCTATAAGAAGATGTCTGAAAGTTTTGATGGTAATAGATATAAGGTGGATCTCATCATACTGAACATTTTCAGGAGTCAAATTTTCACTATCTATAGCAGTTTTCAAGATAATAAACAAAAATTGCATTTTACCTCTATGTTCTATTCTTAGCCATGTCGGCCATATTTGTCTGCAGGCAGGGTCATGGGATAAATTTTTTAAAAATAAATATCCCATTGATGATTGTGGCAAAGTTTGGTTAAATGTGGCTGAGTAGGGGATGATTTTTGTAAAAGTTTTTTTGTATGGAAGATGACAGACGACAGACGCCAAGTTATGGCAAAAGCTCACACAGGCCCTTTGGGCCAGATGAGCTAAAAACATTGGTGACATACCTGCATATTGTGTAGCACACTTCAGTAGAGGTTGAGGTACTAACGGGTCATCTCTAGCATTCAGTAAAAACATAGGTATTGTTATCTGAAAATAGACAATAAGAATTTCTATATTGTGCATATATATGAACAGATGCAAACTTCTAACTGAGTATGTGAAACTCATTAAGAGAATTTCCTATAAAATTTTAAGAAAATGCTAGTACCTGAAGATTGAAAGAGACTGTTTCACTTACAATGCTTTTTTCAAACTCTATAATGAGGTGTTCATTTCTTCAAAACTTTGAGCCAATCTTTCCAATATGATTGGCATGTATATATTCCTAATTTATCCTAACTTTGGGCTTATCTTCTCATATGATGGGCTTGTATACATTTTTAATTTGTGGTTTTAGACTTTGTAATGAAAAATAAGTGAGATATATGCATTCATTGGGAAATATTCAATTGATGAATACCCTATGAGTAAAGTAGAGAATCTAAATGAATATTTACATTGTTAATATAATTACAGCTACTATTTGCTTCGTAATACTCTTCTATACTCTTGTATCCCCAACGTTTTCTGAAAATAAACAAAGATTATAAATTAAAGTGCTTGTGAGCACTGAAGGGTAAAGATTTCATTAATTTTTGCAGTGGAAATTTTTAAAATTAAACATTGCATTGTATTAGGCATAGGAAGGCAATACATTTGTACTATGAATTGGAGATATATTTGTGATTTTTTCAACTACAATTATGTACAATGTATAAAGGAAGATAACTCCAATTATAAATATTACTTTAACAATGACATCATTGATATTTTTAGAACAGATACATGTACTATGCACAACTTATGTAATTTTCTTGACAAGTATGGTTATACACATACAGATCGAGTTATAACTTCAGTAATACATTTCTTGAAATGCTCATAGGTAGGTTGTATACAATATTTTTTTTAAATATCCTACAAGATTTTGTGAGATTGCTTACGACCAATTTACCATTAAAATATTTGATCAGTTCTTAGATAATTGAAATCATGCAAGATCTTGCTGTTGAAAAAATTTGAACTCATGCAAGATCTTGCTGTTGAAAAAAATTGAACTCATGCAAGATCTTGCTGTTGAAAAAATTTGAACTCATGCAAGATCTTGCTGTTGAAAAAATTTGAACTCATGCAAGATCTTGCTTTTGAAAAAATTTGAACTCATGCAAGATCTTGCTGTTGAAAAAATTTGAACTCATGCAAGATCTTGCTGTTGAAAAAATTTAAAATCATGCAAGATCTTGCTGTTGAAAAAATTTGAACTCATGCAAGATCTTGCTGTTGAAAAAATTTGAACTCATGCAAGATCTTGCTGTTGAAAAAATTTGTTATAAATTTCATAAACATCAAACAAGACATGTAGGAATGAAAGTGCTCACAATGCAATTTTCAAAATAAATTACATTTCATTGGGACACAAGACCATCTGCATGGTTTACAGAAGAGAAAATAATGGGCAAAAAGTGCAGTTTAAAGGGCAAAAAATATAAAGAATAGAGAAAAACAGACTCAAAAAAAGAGAATAGAGAATAATGAGGTGCTTAAATATAAAGAATAGAGAATAATGAGGTGCTTAAATATAAAGAATAGAGAATAATGAGGTGCTTAAATATAAAGAATAGAGAATAATGGGCAAAATAAATAAATAATAGAGAAAAATGGTACATGTATAAAAAAATAAAGAATAAAAAAAATTAAGGACCCAATCCAGATCTTCACCCCTCACACAAGTCCTATAAAAAAGTTAATTATCACTGATTTTTTCAAACTTGTCCAAGAGATTGCTGATCCAAACCTTTGATATAAATGTTATAAAAATCCTAGAAGAAATGAGCACTTACAGTGTAATTTTCCATAATAATCATATTCCAAGGGGCATAACTCTTTTCTAATACAATGTAGTTCTATTCAAAGGGCATAACTCCTTTCTAATAGTTCCTTAACACCAAATTTCCAACTCTTCGAAAATATTTCTGATATAAACCTCAGACATAAAAAAGTATAACAAAAATACCAAACTCCACTCCAAGGCAAATTTAAAAAGGGGAAGTCCATAAAAACGTTATCAATCAACAGAACGAGCAAAAAAACATATATTTCATAAAAATCTGCAAAGAAATGTATGTGCTTAGAGTGATTACAAGACAGGACTATTGGACACAGGAACAGACACGGTATTTCTACCTCTATTGTACCCTTGAAACAGGACATGGTGCAGTCATAAGTGAATAAATAACCATGTAGAATGTCTGAAGTAGAAAAAGACAATTTCTGAATTTACACTTCAAAATACTGGACATAGGTAAACATCCTGTAACTTTAATAAAGAGTATATCTTGCCATTTTGATAGCTAATTAGTGCTGAAGTGGAATTAAACAGCCATAGTCATTTCATTAATAAACATTTGTATGATTGATCATAGCATAGTTTTCAGAATTATTGGTAACAGCAATATGGAAATCTTACATAGTATACGCTTGATCTAATTCAGCCAGAGACGTGGCAGCAAATATCTTGTCTTCATCGAGCTTGTGTTTACATTTCACATCTTCTGACAACACTGTGTTGTAATGGTGACGCAATAAAAACTTCTGATAAGATGTCATAAAATACACATACATTCTTCTTAGATGGCTCCATTCTAACAGCAATGGAAAGGCCCTGAAAAAAGGTTTTATAGAAAAATTCTTGATTATTATAACTTTTCATCTAAATATGTATTCCTGATGTTCAGTAGTTGTCGTTTGTTGATGTGGTTCATAAGTGTTTCTCGTTTCTTATATAGATTAGACCGTTGGTTTTCCCGTTTGAATGGTTTTACACTAGTCATTTTTGGGGCTCTTTATAGCTTGCTGTTCGGTGTGAGCCAAGGCTCCATGTTGAAGACTGTACTTTGACCTATAATGGTTTACTTTTATAAATTTTTACTTGGATGGAGAGTTGTCTCATTGGCACTCATACCACATCTTCTTATATCTATCTACTAATAAATTAAAACATATTTACTCCTGGTTTTTGGTGGGGTCCGTGTTGCTCGATCTTAAGTTTTCTATGTTGTGTTTTGTGTACTGTTGTTTGTCTTTTGGTCTTTTTCAATTTTTGCCATGGCGTTGTCAATCTACTTATGAGTTTGAATGTCCCTTCTTTGGTATCTTTCTCCTTTCTTTTACCAAGTTTTATTGATACATATAAGATAATGCACACTCATAACAACAAGAATGTGTCCATAGTACACGGATGCCCCACTTGCACTATTATTTTCTATGTTCAGTGGACCATGAAATTGGGGTCAAAACTCTAATTTGGCATTAAAATTAGAAAAATCATATCATAGGGAACATGTGTACTAAGTTTCAGGTTGTTTGGACTTCAACTTCATCAAAAACTACCTTGCCCCAAAACTTTAACCCTGAAGCGGGACAGACGGACGAGCGGACGCACAGACTGAAAAACATAATGCCCCTCTACTATTGTAGGTGGGGTATAATAAAAGCAAGAAGCTTACAATAACCTAAATAGCTCACCTGGTAAAAAATAGGCCATTTTAAATATATTTTGTTTCCCTGAATTGGAATTAGTTACTTGTAGATATTATTTAGTGGCATTTTGTAAGTCTTGTATTGATGATCATTTTGACTGATTACAATTCCTATCACAAGTTTTTGAAAAATCAAAAACATCATTTAATGGCAACAAATTCTATAACTAGTGTGATAATTTGGCCATGTTGACTTATTTGTAGTTCTTATCTTACTGATGTTTTTACTTTTTGAAGTTTCTCTTTATCTCCTATAGTTTTCAAAAATGCAAAAAATGGATAAAATCATCATTCTGGGGAAATAACTTCTAAAAGGAGTTGGTTGACAATTTCAGCCATGAGGACTGATTTGTAGATCTTATTGTGCTTCACATCTTTTCTATTTACAATGTTTCTCTATCTATAATGGTTTCTGCAAAAAATGTGGATAATGTTTAATAAAATGCTCCGCTGGGCGCAGCTTGATACGACCGCAGAGGTCGAACCCTGAACAGTTGGGGCAAGTATGGACACAACATTCAAGCTTGATACAGCTCTGAATTTGGATTGTGATTAAATATTTGACACAGCATAGGTTTCTGACACAGAATGAATGTGGTCTAAGAACTTAAAATTTTTTAATTTACCTATTATGGTCCAATATCCAAAATCTAAATACATGGTTAGATTCAGCACATCAAAGAATCCAAAGAATTCAATTTTTGATGAAATCAAACACAATTTAATTTTGGACCCTTTTGACCTCAATGTGGACCAATTTGATAACGGGGCCCAAAAATCAAAATACATGGTTAGATTCAGCATATCAAAGAACCCCATATATTCAATTTTTGTTGAAATCAAACAAAGTTTAATTTTGGACCCCAACTTGGACCAACTTGAAAACTGGGCCAAAAATCAAAAATCTAAACACATGTTTAGATTCAGCATAGCAAAAAACCCCAAGAATTCAATTTTAGTTAAAATCAAATTAAGTTTAATTTTGGACCCTTTGGACCTTAATGTAGACCAATTTAAACAAGAGGCTCTCAAGAGCCTGAATTGCTCACCTGCATTTCAGAGGAGAAGATTTTTAAATGTTAGCAAACTTGATGAACAAATTGTGTAAAATTGTCTTTAAAGGGCAATAACTCCTTAAGGGGTCAAGTGACAATTATGGTCATATTAACTTTTTTGTAGATCTTACTTTGCTGAACATTATTGCTGCTTACAGTTTATATATATCTATAATAATATTCAAAATAATAACAAAAAACTGCAAAACTTTGTTAAAACTACCAATTCGGTGGCAGCAACCCAACAATGGGTTGTTCGATTCATCTGAAAATTTCAGAGCTGATAGATCTTGACCAACTGAACCATTTTACCCTATGTCAGATTTGCTCTAAAAGCTTTAGTTTTTGAGATATAAGCCAAAAACTGCATTTGACCCCTATGTTCTATTTTTAGCCATGGCGGCCATGTTTGTCGATGGATCAAAACTTCAGATACAATTTATAAACTAGATACCCTAAGGAACATTTAGTTAAAGTTTGAAGGTATTTTGCCCAGTAGTTTCAGAGGAGAAGATTTTTGAAATATTTTACGACGACAGACGACGACGACAGACGATGGACGACAACGGACGCCAAATGATGGCATAAGCTCACATAGGGCCTTTCGGGCCCAGGTGAGCTAAAAACGGGACCCAAAATTAAAAATCTAAATACACGGTTAGATTTGGCATATCAAAGAACCCCAATAATTCAATTTTTGATGAAATCAAACAAAGTTTAATTTTGGACCCTTTTGACTTCAATATGAACCAATTTGATAGCGGGGCCCACAAATAAAAAATCTAATTACACGGTTAGATTCAGCATATCAAAGAACCCCATATATTCAATTTTTGTTGAAATCAAACAAAAAAGTTTAATTTTGGACCCAAATTTGGACCAACTTGAAAACTGGGCCCAAAATAAAAAATCTACATACATGTTTAGATTCAGCATATCAAAGAACCCCATATATTCAATTTTTGTTAAAATCAAACTTAGTTTAATTTTGGACCCTTTGGACCTTAATGTAGACCAATTTGAAAACTGGACCCAAAATTAAAAATCTAAATACATGGTTAGATTCGGCATAACAAATCAATAAATGTGGTCAAAGATTTTACAAATCTAATGCGCCATACTGTGCAACTAAAGATTACTTCTTGAAATTTTTCAATATTTGAAATTTGAAAAAAAAAAAATATTTGAAGAATAATTCTTTTTAATTTCTGAAATCTGAAATGAGAAAAAATTGACCCCCCACAATTTCTTTTTACCCCCCCCCCCCCCCCCCCCCCCCCCCCCACCCACCCCCTTTTCCCTTACACTGCTTTAAATTATGTTTTGCACTAAAGTATTTGTCCAATAACCAGGACAACCTTGTTTTTCCCCTTTTTTTCCCCTAATTCCTAAAATTTTGAGGCAATTACCCCCAAAATAAATCCCAGCATTCCCTTTGTGATATGGAACCTTGTGGTACAATGTCAGAGAGATCCATACACTAACACACAAGTTATGTCTGGAAGTTACAAAAATGCTTATTTTTGGCCCCTAATTCCTTAACTGTTGGTACCATAACCCCCAAAATCAATCCCAGCCTTCCTTTTGTGGTATTGAACCTTATGGTAAAATTTCATAGAGATCCATTCACTTAAACTTAAGTTAGAATGCGAAAACCAATGTGTCTTTGGACAAAGACGACGACGACGCCATACCAATATACAACCCCAAAATTTGTTTGCGGTTGTATAAAAACTGTTTCAGGGCAATAACTTAATTATAAGCGGTCAATTGACGATTTCAGCAAAGTTGACTTACTGCGGATTCATTTATTTTCGTGGGTACCAATTTTCGTGGATTAAGGAAAACTTGCATGTTCGTAGATATTTAATTTCATGGTTTTGCCAAAGTCTGCGTACAAGCCTATATAAAATATGTCATTCGTTGAACATTTAATTTCGTGGTTCACTCGTAACCACGAAAATTGGTAACCAACAAATAATAATGAATCCACAGTATTAGTAAATCTTATTTTGATGAACACATTTGCTTTTTCGATGTCTCTGTATCCATTATAGTTTCTGCAAATAAACCAAAAAGGAGTAAAATTAGTCTTTCAAGGGCAACAACTCCTATAAGGGATAATTGATGATTCGTCCATGTTGAATTAATTGTAGATCATATTTTTATGAACATTTTTACTATTTTACTACCTAAAGGTTCCCTTTATCAACTTTTAGTTTCCTAAAAAAAAAAAGAAGATAAAAATCATCCATTAAAGGCATTAACTCCTATTAGGGTCATTTGACAATTTCTGCCAAGTTGAATTATTTGTAGATTTTATTGTTTTGTAAGTTTTCACAGTAAAAAGTTCTCTCTATCCGTTATAGTTTACAAGATAATAAACAAAACTGTAAAATAAGCGAAAAATTAAAGTTAACATTTTTCTGGAAATTCTACAAGCGATAAAACTGCTGATCAATTCTACCCAATGTAAGATTTGCTCTAACTGCTTTTTAGATATATATGTAGAGGATTATATAGTGTATAGGTACTGTTACCTCAAGGACATTTTCCACAGTGAGACTAGCACTGACTTTACAGGTTGCAAAAGTGTATCAAACGAAAAGTGCTAATATTATAGTTTATATTAATCATTTTTTTTAAATTATATCATATAAAATATACTATATTAATGATTATCACTATTTTGTGTATTTTTCCTGTGATCTTTTTTTGTGATAATTTTTCATATCATGCTTCTCGCTTGAGATAGAAAATTATCGTCCCAAACTTAGGGCGCACATGATGTTGTCAATGTAAACATCAATGACGTCATAGGCAAAATAGCGATAAACAGATTATCAATGGTCTTTCAAATTTAAGGATGTTTCTCAGCCACATCTCAAATTGCCCTTCAATGAGATTGTAGCTGAGAAGCACTCTCTCACTTGAAAAACCATCAATAATCTATAAACACTGAAGCCTTTTACTCACTTGTGAATATCATATCCTTGACATATTGACATTCCACAGATAAACTTGTGTTGATGACACTCATCCTCTCCTAGATATTTAGTTACTATATTACCACCCATACTGAACCCCACAGCCAACAACTGGCTATTGGGATAAAGTCTCTCTATGTCTTCAACTATTTTCTTTAACTCATCTGTATGCCCTGTAATAAAAAATAATTATCTTATGAACATTCTAGATGAGGCTAATTCTATACTGAAAACATACTGTAGATGAACATTCTAGATGATGTTAATTGTATACCGAGAACATACCGTAGGTGATCATTCTAGATGAGGTTTATTCTATACTGAGAACATACCGTAGGTGAACATTCTAGATGAGGTTAATTCTCAGGGGTTCAAATTAACATTTGGTACTGGAAGGTCCAGGACCTTTGACTCTCCAAACTGAAAGGTCCACAACCTAAATTCCAGGTCCTACTTTTACTTAAAATATTTCATAACTCATTTAGATACAAAATTAATGTGCTTTTGGTATGAGGTTAGCTTATTTCATTGTCAGTTTCACAATGTTCATGGTTTTTCACGATAAATGTAATTGTCTTGTATATAATTAATTCAAGTAGTCTTTTTTTTTTTTGTATTGGGGAGGATGTCACTGTGGATGGGTGTGTTGTCTCAATGATTGATATTAAATTGCTAATTATGCCATGATTATCTCAGGGCTCACACGTATTTCAGCTCGATTTTAAAAGTCCACTAGAGCTTATGCTGCTTTGCTTACATTCAGGTATCATATCTAGTTGTACTATTTGTGAAAATAAAGTAAGAAACTTCCAACTATTTTAACAGGCCCTTCAAAATTTAAATTGAGAAAAAATTACCCCTTGAAATTGCAGTAATATGTTTACACTTTAAAAACATCTACATGCATTATCAACATTTATCACTGATAAAGAAAATTTATACTGTCACATTGTATTGGATTTTGACATTAAAATTTGCCAAAAAGTAATTTTGAGTTTCTGTATAAATATTTTCTGCTTTTTCTTTTTTTTCCATATATTTTTTGGTTTTCAATTCTAGTGTTGATATTTCATTACCTTAGATGTATTTTGTCACCTGCCTGAAATTTTTTTTTATGTAGTCAGTTGATCGCCGAAACCCGGAATTACCATAATCCGCTTCCGGAATTGGACCCGATATTGTAATTGTCTTCATGGCATCCATTGTTTTTCAATATTGTTTTTGTCAAGTCAGATACGATTTTACTCGAATTTACACCTTACTTGAACTTACTTGTCGGCGATTTTCTGTATAAAGCTAGCGGTTGAACAAAATTAATATCGCTGTCATGAATAATAAAGATGAAAATAAGTTTTGAGATCGTTTATTTGGAGACTTTGGTAAAGAGGTTTTCAAAGTTATTTTTTTATTTTCTTTCAAGTCGAAGGTCCGTCGGCCGTAGCTAGTAACCAAGTCGAAAGTCTGATTGCAAAAGTGGAAGGTCACGGACCTCAGACCACCGCTAATTTGAACCCCTGATTCTATACTGAGAACATACCGTAGGTGAACATTCTAGATGAGGTTAATTCTATACTGAGAACATACCATAGGTGAACATTCTAGATGAGGTTAACTCTATACTGAGAACATACCGTAGGTGAACATTCTAGATGAGGTTAATTCTATACTGAGAACATACCATAGGTGAACATTCTAGATGAGGTTAACTCTATACTGAGAACATACCGTAGGTGAACATTCTAGATGAGGTTAATTCTATACTGAGAACATACTGCAGGTGAACATTCTAGATGATGTTAATTCTATACTGAGAACATACCGTAGGTGAACATTCTAGATGAGGTTAATTCTATACTGAGAACATACTGTAGGTGAACATTCTAGATGATGTTAATTCTATACTGAAAACATACCGTAGGTGAACATTCTAGATGATGTTAATTCTATACTGAGAACATACCGTAGGTGAACATTCTAGATGAGGTTAATTCTATACTGAGAACATACCGTAGGTGAACATTCTAGATGATGTTAATTCTATACTGAGAACATACCATAGGTGAACATTCTAGATGAGGTTAATTCTATACTGAGAACATACCGTAGGTGAACATTCTAGATGATGTTAATTCTATACAGAGAACTTACCGTAGGTGAACATTCTAGAAGGTGAGGTTGATTATATCCTGAGAACATACCGTAGGTGAACATTCTAGATGAGGTTAATTCTATACCGAGAACATACCGTAGGTGAACATTCTAGATGAGGTAAATTCTATACCGAGAACATATCGTAGGTGAACATTCTAGATGAGGTTAATTCTATACTGAGAACATACTGTAGGTGAACATTCTAGAAGATGAGGTTGATTCTATACTGAGAACATACCGTAGGTGAACATTCTAGATGAGGTTAATTCTATACTGAGAACATACTGTAGGTGAACATTCTAGATGATGTTAATTTTATACTGAGAACATACTGTAGGTGAACATTCTAGAAGATGAGGTTGATTCTATACTGAGAACATACCGTAGGTGAACATTCTAGATGAGGTTAATTCTATACTGAGAACATACCGTAGGTGAACATTCTAGATGAGGTTAATTCTATACTGAGAACATACTGTAGGTGAACATTCTAGAGGATGTTAATTCTCTACTGAAAACATACTGTAGGTGAACATGTAAGCGTACTTTCATTCCGCCGTGTATATATTCCGGGTAACTGTTTTTCACTAGAGAATATTGGATGTAAATAGTGTGAAAGCGTCGAACTTTATCGTTGTTTTGTTTATATTAGACCGGTTTATTGTTTACATAAATAAATGGGTTAAAATTAAAATGATTTTCAAAGAACCAGTTTAATTAATCTGATTCAATCTAGTAAATAATATTGATGATAATGAGGAGGATGTTTTTATAATTCAAAATACTTTATCAATGACCAGGACATTGAACTTGATACAAACCAAATTAAAGAGCAGATTTGTTCTTACATAAAGTTTCAATTATAGAGGCATCCTTTGAAATTGACAAAGAAGATATGATTTTATATCCAAGTCGACCGAAAAGCAAATACACAGAAAAACTTCGGCATTCCAATAAATATAAATATTACAATTAGTGACAATTTAAAAGCATATGATTTTATAGATTTGCATAGAAAAAATATTTAAATCTTATTCGTTAATAAGCATTATTGTGTTATCGTGTGTTCAAAATGAGTACTAATCACTTCATCAATGTATGGATCTAAAGCACTAGTGTAATTAATCCCGGGTATAAAATAACTAATGCATTAATCATTCCCGTACAAAATCACTAGTGTAATCATTCCTTGTTTAATAACACTAGTGTGAACATTTCTTGGATGAAAACTCTCCACTTTTTACATAAATCAACTATGCAAGTTTCAAATACACTAAAAACTATAAAGCCACATTTTATACATGTTTCCCCTTCAAAAAACCCTTTTTAGAACCTTATAATGACTGGTGGATGTTTTACACTGGACCCGGATAGAAAAACCTAGTGAATTTTTGTTGGTGGATAAAAATCACTAGGGATTTTCTTCCTCCAAATAAAGTACACTGGCGGAATCAAACCACTGTTACAAACATTCTAGAGGATGTTAATTCTCTACTGAAAACATACCATAGGTGAACATTCTAGATGAGGTTAATTCTATACTGAGAACATACCGTAGGTGAACATTCTAGATGAGGTTAATTCTATACTGAGAACATACCGTAGGTGAACATTCTAGATGAGGTTAATTCTATACTGAGAACTGCTCCTAAATGGTTTTGCACCACCACTCTGTATCCATTTTCTTGTGCATAATGCACAAATGTGCAGATATAGGCAGTCTCACTACTGTTAGCTATACCTGGGCTGATCACTATTGTATAATCTCCTAAAAAAGCAGAACAAAATGACCAGTTTATCAGTTTTTGTTAATGCTGTTAATTAGATATACCTGGGCTGATTGTAATGGGAAAATTGACCTACAACACGAATGTGAAAAGGAAAATTAGCAATAAACATGCCTTGCCAGTTATCTACACTGGTGGTAATATCTGGTAAACTAGAAAACAACATACTGTGATAGGTTCTGACCTTCCTTCTAGACCATGAAAAATTAAAATATTGCCACTCATCCTTTCAATGTGTTCCCATATACATAATTCATGTCTGATTTTTAAGTTATCTTTGCAATCCATTTGTTTTTATAAGTTTTTAAATTTTATAGGTCCACCAATATAAAAATAAGAAGATGTGGTATGATTGCCAATGAGACAACTATCCACCAAAGTTCAAATGAAGTGGATGTATAAAAATAAGAAGATGTGGTATGATTTCCAATGAGACAACTCTCCACAAGAGACCAAATGACATACAAATTAACAACTATAGGTCACCATACAGCATTCAACAATGAGTAAAACCCATACCGCATAGTCAGCTATAAAAGGCCATGAAATGACAAATGTAAAACAATTTAAACGAGAAAACTAACAGCCTGATTTATGTACGAAATAATTAAAGAAAAACAAATATGATAAACAGCAACAAACGACAACCACTGAATTACAGGCTCCTAAGCTATAGGTAACTGTATGGCCTTCAACAATGAGAAAAATTCATACCATATAGTCGGCTATAAAAGGCCCTGACATGAAAAAATATGAAACTATTCAATTGAGAAAACTAACAGCCTAATTTATAACAAAAAAACACCAACACACTTGAAATACATATAGGTGTTGTACGGGTATTGGCCTCAATTCATCTCATTAAAACAATATAACTGATAAGAAGTATCTCTGGTCATTTTTCAACCGGGGGGCATCACAGTTGTTCACAAAAGGCAATTTAAAACAATAATGTACTAATTAGAATACATTTTTTCTATCTTTTCTACAAAGCTTCCTGGTTTTTTAAAACAAAATGACTAATATACAAATAAAATTTAAAACAACGAATGAGTCACTCATAATTTTTTTCTATAGAATATATCTAAATCTTGATCATGTTGATGAATATTCAAATTTTTGAAAATGAAACAATATCATATTCTGAATTTTTTTTTAATAAATCAAACATATTAATGTATAAGTACTTCCTGCTTATATCAACAAAATCAATATTAATACAGTCAATTAAAACATGTCTTATGTTATATATACAGGTTACAATCAACCATTAATTATTATGGGCACAGCCATTTTGTGAAGAAATCATCGTATTAAGATTTAAGAGTATGACTAATTCTGATTGGTCAATGTGTGCAGCTGGTATTTTTTATTACTTGACACTTTGTGCATCAGCATTACAGTCTTCATGATAAACTTTTGAATCTGCAGGCCCGGAGCTCAATTTTAGGAAAATTTTAGTTAGATTCTGTTGGCCTGTATAGATCTGATTTTTACAGGCCCGATAGCAATTTTACATGCCTGGGCTGCTGGGGCTGTGGTTAAGCGTGAAGACTGGCATTATACCAAAGGCAAATAATATATTTACCTTACCCTAACAGAACTGAGAAGTCTTTTCTACGCTGTGATGAGACACATATTTTAAAGTGTAGAGTTGATAGGCAAGGGAGATAAGTACAAATTGTGATAAATAAAGCAACGAGAACATCTATTTTTTTCTAAAAAATACTCTTCTTATAATTTTTTTTTATAATTCTAGCAAGGTTTTGTACTATAAATCAACTTTCTAAAGTCTGGAACTTAAAACAAGAGGCTCTCAAGAGCCTGAATCGCTCACCTGTATTTCAGAAGAGAAGATTTTTAAATGTTAGCAAACTTGATGAACAAATTGTGTAAAATTGTCTTTAAAGGGCAATAACTCCTTAAGGGGTTAATTGACAATTTTGGTCAGATTAACAATTTTGTAGATCTTACTTTGCTGAACATTATTGCAGCTTACAGTTTATATCTATCTATAATAATATTCAAACAAAAAACTGCAAAATTTTGTTAAAACTACCAATTTGGTGACAGAAACCCAACAATGGATTGTTCAATTCGTCTGATAATTTCAGGGCCGATAGATCTTGACCAATTGAACAATTTTACCCCATGTCAGATTTGCTCTAAAAGCTTTAGTTTTTGAGATATAAGCCAAAAACTGCATTTGACCCTTATGTTCTATTTTTAGCCATGGTGGCCATGTTTGTCAATGGATCAAAACTTCAGATACATATTATAAACAAGATACCCTAAGGAACATTTAGTTAAAGTTTGAAGGTAATTGGCCCAGTAGTTTCAGAGGAGATTTTTAAATTTTAGCAAACTTGATGAACAAATTGTGTTAAATTGTCTTATATATATCTATCTATAATAATATTCAAGATAACAAAAAACTGCAAAATTTCCTTAAAACTACCAATTTAGTGGCAGCAACCCAACAATGGGTTGTTCGATTCGTCTGAAAATTTCAGGGCTGATAGATCTTGACCAATTGAACAATTTTACCCCCGTGTCAGATTTGATCTAAAAGCTTTAGTTTTTAAGATGTAAGCCAAAAACTGCATTTCACCCCTATGTTCTATTTTTAGCCATGGTGGCCATCTATGTCGATGGATCAAAACTTCGGATACAATTTATAAACTAGATACCCTAAGGAACATTTAGTTAAAGTTTGAAGGTATTTGGCCCAGAAGTTTCAGAGGAGAAGATTTTTGAAATAGTTTACGATGACAGACTACGACGACGGATGCCAAGTGATGGCATAAGCTCACATGGGGCTACCATTGAGAAGGGGAAATAAATTGTTTTTTGCAATCTATATACATTTAAAACGATGAAGTATACTATGTGGTTATTTCTTATTTTTCACATCTAGAAAAAAATACTACTAATCTTACCTGCATATTGAATTATTTCAAGTTTGAAATGAAATGTTTTAGTTGTTCTTCAAAATGAAGAATGTTTTAATCAATAATATGTCAAACAATTTGGTTATATTATAATCAAAACAATATTGTGTTGGTTGAACACATTTTAAATGAGATATTTACAGAGCAAATCAAAAACTACTTTTAGTAAAAATTGTCCCAGAGAATCCAGACTACAAGTATTTTCACAAAACAGTTGTTTTATTTGAGTTCCAATATTCCCAATTTGACTGGAATTTTTTCATTTCCAAATTCCTTATTGATCCTACTGCATAATGTTTTATAGATTGCCGCATTGTGGACAATATTCCAAAATATAAGGAACTGAAGTCATATAAAAATGAACATATCTTTTTTCATGTTATCAATTTATGAATGAAATACATGCAAAGTCTTCCATATACATCTCCTTATTTTCATATATAGTTGTTACTTTCTGTGTGTTTTGGTCTTACGATGTATGTGGAGAGAAGTCTCATTGGCAATCATACCACATCTTCTTATTTTTATATATATGTATACACAAACCTCTGGGGTGAGGAGATATAGGTTCAAATACATCATATGTCAACGTAGCTCCATCATCTAGGGTAATAAAATGTCTCTTTCCCTTGGGGAATGGAGATTTTATTCGGCCTAATTTGCCATACACGATGGTTTGCAGATGTCCACTTTTCCCCCACACTCTTGTAGGTATATAACTGAAATACATTAGATAAATGTGTAAGGCCATAAAATAATACATGTGTTTCCGTTAACCCTACCTGTCACGGAATAGAAGTTCCTTCATAATATAAGTTCCAAATGGAAACAATATTCTGGAATATTATTTCCACTGGAATAAATATTACAGTAAATGTTTCTAACGGAATAAATGGTATAGAATATTTGTTCCAACAGGAACAGATATAATGACATTGTTTATAACAAAGTTTCCAGTGGAACATCTGTTAGGCGGAACAAATATACGTTGACATATCCCCTAATTTTTAGTGCCTACCCCAACACTTTTTATGCCATTTTTGAACAAGCACTGTTAAAGTCAGACAGATTCCCTAGTAGTAACCAGCTAAAAAATGTTTGTAAAATAAAATGATATTGCCTACCTACCTACCCTATTTTTCCAGCACGTTAGCGGAAACACATGTATTATTTTTTTTTGCCTAATGAGCAACATATTGTTATTCAAGGTGTGAATACAGGCATTTGGAGTCTGTGAAAAGACCTTTTAATATGATGATGATGATGGTTGGCTGCTTAACGTCCAGCGGCAAATTAATAATCATATTCGGGACAAGAACATGTTTATGTAATAATGAATATTAACCCTGCTTTGTACTAGACCGACACGCTGAGCCGGATTTTTAACATGCTAGTTTGCAAGGTAACTGTCCGCAGGAAGACATGTCACCTTACCCGGACACAATATTTTGACTCCAAGCCAACGAGTCTTTGCTCTTACTCCTTAATCATAATGCTGCGTGCTTAGCGGAGAATCAGTATAAACCAATTTTAAAGTCTTTGGTTTGACCCAGCCGGGGTTCAAATCCTTGATCTCCCTCACTTAAGGCAAACAGGCTACCACAAGACCACCGAGGTGGTTCCTTTTAATATGACCTTGGAAATATAATGAAAGGTTTAGAAAGTTCAATTAATTACTCATATGAAACTAATGATGTCTAAATCCATGGGATGTTGGATGTGTACTTATCATGCTAATTGATATTTTAGTCTTTGATACAGATTTTTTTATAACTTTGAGTACTCTCAGATAGATCTATACTTTGTGTCTTTAGTGTTTTATTGTTTTTGCTTTGTATGGATCTGACGAGTTAAGCCATTTTCAACTGAATTTTTACAGTTTGTTCTTATGTTGTGCTTTTCCATCACTGTCCAAGGTTAAGGGGAGAGTTGGGCGCCCACAAACATGGTTAACTCAACCTCATTCAGTATGTGCCTGTCCCAAGTCAGGAGCATGTAATTCAGTGTAAGTCGTTTGTTGCTCTATATCATAATTGTTTGTTGTTTATTGTTTTGTACATAAATCAGGCTGTTCGTTTTCTAGTTTTCATTTGCATTTCAGGGCCTTTCATAGCTTGCTATGCAGCATGGGTTTTGCTCATTGTTTAAGGCCTTATGGTGACCTATATTTGCTAACTTCATAGTCATTTGGTCTCTGGTGGACAGTTGTCTTATTACATGTATTAGCAATCATACATGTCATACCACATCTTCATATTTTTATAATCTTATTTATAGCTTACTATGAATAAAAGGAGTAATGGGTTACGTTAATGAGACAGCAACCCAACAAAATAAGTAATTCAAATGACATTTTCATACTGTGTTCTAGATCTACAATAGACAGGTGTCTACATAATATTTCAAGCTCTTAATGGGCCCAGGTCTTATCATTGGACAAGCATTGTAGATTATCTATCTATATGAAAACCAAAGGAAGTTTCTCGGCTATAATCTCATCAAAGGGCAATAAACTTCCTAAAGTTGAAAGACCATCTATACATATATATAATCCATATGTCACTATTTCCCTAGGCACATCCATTTGGTACTGACACAAACTAATTTAAGGTAAGCCATTTTTACAGGCATACAACCCCTGAGATCTGTTTTAAGTCTTTAGTTTTCTGTTGTGTATTATCATGATTATAGACTGTTGTTTGTCTTTTGGTTGCTTTTCTTTTTTTGCCATGGTGCTGTCAGTTTGTCTTTGACTTACAAGTTTGGATATTTCCCTTTGGTACCTCCCACATTCTTTTTTTGAAAGATATCCCCTTTTGATGTTGTCTGCATGTTTAGATTCTGATATCACTATTCCAAATTTTTCTCTAAATTTGCCAAGTAGACCTTTTTTCGTGACCTTCCCATTTCTAACAGACATTTATAAGTCATGTTAGTCAGATTTGGGCAAACTGAAATATATTTAATGGTGGCATGAGGGGTACAATGCAGCTGCAAAATCTTGTTTAATGGACATTAGGAGTAAAATGGGGGGATTTAAATCAATTGCAAATGTATTTGCTCCTTTCCCATGTTTCCCCACAACAGGAAACATTGTTAATTGTGACACACATATTCTGAGCATACTGAGTTCACGGAAAAGACCCTGTTTAAAGTGAAGCATATAAGACTGAACATCCAGTGGCATAAATTTCTTGAATATTCATTCTACGAAAACGGTGATAAAAAAACTTGCAGTTATTTGGTTCATATATATTGAGGCTGTTCTTCAAAACTTTCAGATTTTTTTTAAAATCAAAAGTGTCTCCCATTCATTTTTTTTTTTAATTCATTTATAACTGGCTTCTTCAAAATAGGGAGGTTCTACAGTCAATGCAACACTCAGAGACACTAAAATTTAAGTGGTACAAGGATACCTTACAATCTGAATAACATATTGTTAGCATTAGGGAGGTTTCAAGCCACAATTAATTATGCAATTTTTACATAATGTTGAGTTAAATCAACACATTCTATTTTATCTATTAATAAATTGTTTTTAAAAATAATATATATGTTTTGGACTGGGTTTTGTACTAAAAAACAAAAAGGTTTTAAGTATAAAATACTGCCAGGGGCCCCCCCCCCCCACCTTCTTATGGAGCTACATATATGGTTAACGCACCGAATTTTTACATGTGACGTCCCACCTAATCCTTGATCCGCATATATATCTGTTTTAATTCCTGTTCCCATAACTATATTCATATTTATATTATTAGAGCTATTTTCCTAATGCTTGTAGTTTAAAGGTTTGGTTGGCTTGCTTACTTTGTTTGTATAAATGTTTGCAAAAGCATTGTAATTCAGATTGACATCTGTAATCAATAGATAGGCGGGGCTTCAGCTTGCATATATTATGCTTAAATGTTATTGGATGTTAAGTATAATGCAGAATATAATGTATACAAGCTGAAGCCCCGCCTATCTATTAATTGCAGATGTCAATCTTAATTACAATGCTTGAGCAAACATTTACACAACAAAGCAAGCAAGCCAAACAAACCTTTAAACTACAAGCATTAGGAAAATAGCTCTAAAGTGATTTGTATTGATTTATTAGTCCAAATAATTATGACCTCTTGAAAGGCTATTATATTTTATTGCTTTGATGCCTTATGACAAAGCAAAAAATATATACATGTAGTAGCCTTTCAAGACATCATAATTATTTGGACTATTGATTGATATGCTCAATAAATGCCAAAATGAGCCCTTTATTGGCTTTAACTAGGATAAGGAATACATTGGCTAGAGGTATAGGGGGAGGGTTGAGATCTCATAAACATGTTTAACCCCGCAGCATTTTTGCGCCTGTCCCAAGTCAGGAGCCTCTAGCCTTTGTTAGTCTTGTATTATTTTTAATTTTAGTTTCTTGTGTACAATTTGGAGTTTAGTATGGCGTTCATTATCACTGAACTAGTATATATATTTGTTTAGGGGCCAGCTGAAGGACTCCTCCGGGTGCGGGAATTTCTCGCTGCATTGAAGACCTGTTGGTTACCTTCTGCTGTTGTCTGTTCTATGGACGGGTTGTTGTCTCTTTGACACATTCCCCATTTCCATTCTCAATTTTATTAAATAATTTTATTTTTATATTTTGGAGACAATTTCATCAGAAAAATCATCAAACTTTTGGCATTCTTTCACAGGGGTCCCAACCTATATAGAGCTATAGATACTGTCCTTAACCTATCGCCAATGCATACCGAACCTGACGGTCCATGGCCATGGGTGTGGCGTTAGCCGTTAACTAGAGATATTTAGTTGCAAATAATTATTTGTGTAATATAAAGTTATCATACTTACGGGTTTGTTAGCACAGAACACATTTTAAGAATTTGGCTGGCAAAAAACGAGCCATCTTTGTATTTCAGATCAGGTGCAGATGACGAACTGGCTAAATGGAGCAGACGAATTGTGCCATAAATAATAACTCCCGCCACACACAAAATAAGAAAACTCATTCTGTTAATTAACGCGTTTCAATAATGTATAAGTTTTCTAACTAGAAAAAAAACTAACTGACCTAGTTTAAAATTTCTGCATCCTGAGAATAAATGTTTCTGAAACTGCGATCATGCGATCATACGATGTTAGATAGTAAAATCGGAGTGGCGTCCCTTGCGAAGTCGAAACGTATGGGGACAATGGACAAATTCCGGACTGTCATAAATTTCCTTGATCGATATATTTGTACATAACTAGCCGCCTATGATGATTGGGAAAATAAAAAATATTAGTATTTATACAGTGAGAGGTCAAAAGTGTTTCACCACTCATAAATTCCTCTATATCTATATAGGAATACATTTTATCTACTATGTCAAAAATTATTTCAAGTCCGATTTTGATGAAATTTTTACTGTTAAACTCATAAATATTTTGGTGACATTTCATTACTGAAAATAAATATTGAAATCAAGTTTTTCCCCCTACAATTAGCCATACATATTTTTTTCGTGCAGAAATTCATGCGTATCTTAATTTTATAGAATGAGTCAGTTCCTTTAAAACAAAAAATCGTACATTTATTTCATAATTATTGCAAGAAACTACAGACATTTCTGTATTAGATGGTAAACAATTAATTCAATTCGGACAAGTAATAACTTAAAGTAAGGATATACTTTTGTTTTATTAAAAGCGTGCTTTTTACATAAAATATATAGCAGAATTTTCAAATAGTGAAACACTTTTGACCTCTGACCGTATATTTTAATATTATCTTACAACAGAGACACAACTTGAGCATAATTGGTAGTTATCTTGTTATGATATGGCCCGAGAACACAGTTATTTCGTAGTGGATTTCTTTCAAGTTAGACAATAAATTCAAACTTTAAAAATCGTACATGATATCCTAAACAGATTTTTACACTGCACTGTTTACCAACTCTATCTCGAAATATAGCGGTTTTCAAGCGAAAAAAACTATAAACTTAAAGGTAAGATAAAGTATAATTTTTTTCCTTTTTTGAGAATCGATTATGCCGCCGGGAGTTAGCGATCCACTCCACCAGTCCCTATTGAATGTTGATTGGGAGGCATTGGTGACATATAGTTCCCATTTGAAACTCGATCTAGCTACGGGAAATTACAGTTTCATAATTTTGGTTGAGTGGAAAATATGATGGAATTGGTTACACATATTTACCATACAAGCTCCTTTGAAAGTTACATTTTCAGACATTTGGTATTTGGCACAACTTTTTGGAATTTTAGGTCCTCAATGCTCTTCAACTTTGTACTTGTTTGGCTTTATAACTATTTTGATCTGAGCGTCACTGATGAGTCTTATGTAGACGAAACGCGCGTCTGGCGTATTAAATTATAAGCCAGGTACCTTTGATAACTATTTACACCACTGGGTCGATGCCACTGCTGGTGGACGTTTCGTCCCCGAGGGTATCACCAGCCCAGTAGTCAGCACTTCGGTGTTGACATGAATATCAATTATATGGTCATTTTTATAAATTTCCTGTTTACATAAGTATGGATTTTTCGAAATACTAAGGATTTTCTTATCCCAGGCATAGATTACCTTAGCCGTATTTGGCACAACTTTTTGGAATTTTGGGTCCTCAATGCTCTTCAACTTTGTACTTGTTTGGCTTTATAACTATTTTGATCTGAGCGTCACTGATGAGTCTTATGTAGACAAAACGCGCGTCTGGCGTATTAAATTATAAGCCTGGTACCTTTGAGAACTAATTTCAACTTCTTGTTTGAAAGCACTAGGTCAAATTTGACCACATCTATCGGGAAGGATTCTACAAGGAACCTCATTTGGTTCAGATTAGGAAAAAATATGACCGCCAAGTAAATATCCCATTAATAAAATTGAGAATGGAAATGGGAAATATGTTAAAGAGACAACAACCCGACCAAAGAGCAGACAACAGCCGAAGGCCACCAATGGGTCTTCAATGCAGCGAGAAAATCCCGCACCCGGAGGTGGTCCTCAGCTGGCCCCTAAATAAAATTGTGTGCTAGTTCAGTGAAAATGGACGTCACACTAAACTCCAAAATATATAAATGAACTAAAATTAAAAAACATACAAGACTAACCGACAAAGGCCAGAGGCTCCTGACTTGGGACAGGCGCAAAAATGCGGCGGGGTTAAACATGTTTTGTGAGATCTCAACCCTCCCCCTATACCTCTAGTCGATGTAGACAAAAGAAACACATAGCAATACGCACAGTAAAACTCAGTTTAAAAGAAGTCCAAGTCCGATGTCAGAATAGGTAACAAAAGAAACTAAGCAAAATGACAATGATACATAAATGAACAAAGGACTACTAGCAGTTACTGACATGCCAGCTCCAAACCTCAATTAAACTGATTGAGAGATTATGTCTTCATCATATGAATGCCTTTTTTTTAACATCACATTTACAAAATAAGCCACATGCAGCAAAAGTAATGCAGTTGAGAGCTCATTTTTGATTGCGTAACTTTTCAGATATATACATGCAAGCATGTAGCATTCAGGTGTGATTTACGTGTTGTTTTGCTTTTATCCATACATGCAATTTTTATACGACCGCAAAATATTTTGCGGTCTTATATTGGTATCACGTCGTCGTTGTCGTCGTCGTTGTCGTCGTCTGAAGCCATTTGGTTTCCGGACAATAACTTTAGTAATTGTAAATAGAAATTTATGAAATTTAAACACAAGGTTTATATCCACAAACGGAAAGTAAGGATTGATTTTGGGGGTTATAGTCCTAACAGTTATTAGGAATTAGGGGCCAAAAGGGGGCCCAAATAAGCATTGTTCTAGTTTCCAGACAATAACTTGTGGAACGGTGTATGGATCTCTCTGAAATTATACCACAAGTTTCCATACCACAAAGGGATGATTAGGATTGGCTTTGGGGGGTTATGGCTCAAACCGTCTAGGAATTAGGGGCAAAAAAGGGGAAAACAAGGGTTTCCTGGTTAATGGACAATTAAAAAAAGTACAATGTTATGTTTGGATTACCTCCCTTACACTGCTTTTAAATTATATATAAAGAAATGTTCACGGAATTGTCTTGCGGTGATTAGCTGTCAATTTATTTTTAGAAGTTACCACTTAAAAATGCTGATAAAGGAATATTAATTTTAGCCATGATTATGTATGTCATTTTCTATTTCAAGACTTGTATGATGTATTTAAATGGGTAATTATGGTTGCCAACTCCAGTGGAAATTTGAATTGAGATTATGACCATATCTTGAGGGAAAGAATTTTTTCGGGGGAAAGGGGGGGGGGGGGGTTAAAAAAAATGGGGGTGGGGGGGGGGGGGGGGGGTGGTGTTAAAAGGAAATTGTGAGGGGGGACAATTTTTTCTCATTTCAGATTTCAAAAAAGGTGGTATTTTTTTTTGGGGGGGGGGGGGGGGGGAGGTCAATTCGCAACAGCATAATGTATTGCACAAAAGCCAAAAATTGAATATAAATTCAACTCATATAACCAATTCTAAGTTCTTTGACTACAATTATTCTGTGTCAGAGACCTATTATGTGTCAAATATTTAATTACAATCCAAATTCAGACCTGTATCAAGCGCGAATATTGTGTCCATTTTGCCCCAACTGTTCAGGGTTGGACCTCTGCGGTCGTATCCAGCTGCGCTCGGCGAAGCAATTTATTTTATCAGTATTCGTGTGAAGAAAACGCATACAATGAATAACGGCCAGGATGAGTTGTTACAATTAAAAATTGTAAAACAATCATTTTATGTATTTTGTTGTACATGTCAGTCGGACAGGTTTCATCTGACCTTGACCTCATTCTCATGGTTCATTGATCAATGTTATGTTATCAAGGTTTTGTCCTTTTATCAGACACTACAAGCATTTGGTCAACTATATTTGGTGTATGGAATAACTTCTGTGGTAGGGTTGATCTGACCTTGGACTCATTTCAATGGTTCTATAGCCAATTTGAACTTTTCAAGGTTATTTCTTAGATAATATAAGCAATAGGTCAACTATATTTTGTGTATGGAATAACTGTAAGGTGTACATGTCTGTAGTAGGGTTGATCTGACCTAGGCCTCATGTCAATGGTTCCATAGTCAATTTGAACTTTTCAAAGTTATTTCTTAGATACTATAAGCAATAGGTCAACTATGTTTGGTGTATGGAATGATTGCATGGTGTACATGTTTTCTGGCAAGGTTCAACTGACCTTGACCTGATTCTTATGTTCCACTGATCAATGTTCAATTTTGGTAATTAGGTCGGTTTCTCATATACTATATATATGCAGTAGATCCAATAGGATAATTTTATTTGGTGTATGAAATTTAACGTTGATAAGTAAAGCAGGCGAGATATTTCAGTGTGTGCATTCTTTTTCTTTTTCTCGTTGTGTGTTTTTCATTTTTTTATTCTCAGTGTGTGTTTTTCATTTTTTTGAAATCTCAGTGTGTGTTTTTAAGTTTTTGATCTCAATGTGTCTATATCTCAGAGTGATTTTTTTTTTTTTTTTTTTTTCGAAAAATGGCTTAATTGACATATTTGTTTGTTTTTATAGTGATTTAGATTATAACACAATGTTGACTGCTGTACCCCTATTTTTAACATTTTTGCCTACATGTATTATGTCTGTTTGTTTCATTCACCGACCGTGCGAGAGCTGTATAGCCAGTCAAGGTCGTTAAAAACTCCCATAATCATCATTTTATTCACACAATGTTGTCAATATAATGGAATTTTATGCGACTGTCATACAAGTGAGAGGTTTGGCTAGCTATGAAACTAGGTTTAATTTACCATTTTCTACATACTGAAGGGAATGCCTGTACAAAGTTAGGAATATGACAGTTGTTTTCCATTCGTTTGATGTGTTTGAGCTTTTGGTATTGCCATTTGATAAGGGACTTTCCGATTTGAATTTTCCTTGGAGTTCGGTATTTTTGTTGTTTTACTTTTTAATAGAATTGAGAATGGAAACGGAGAATGTGTCAAAGAGACAACCCGACAAAAGAGAAGAAAACAGCCCAAGGGCACGAATGGGTCTTCAACGCGGCATGGTTTTAATTAGAACGGCTTGCCATAAAAATGCAATTCTGCTTTTATTACATGTTGCCGATTAAGGCAATTTGACACAAAATTGCAAATTGTACATGTTATAACAAGACGTCACTAACAAAAAAATATGTGTATTGCATATTTTAGCGGCGATCGATTTTCAAAATTACTGCACTTTTCTTGTATCTCTGGTGCTTTCGACTGGAGAACCGTCGTACACAAGCATCGCACAAGTTGGCACTCCGAGCTAGGCGAGTAGGGAGCAGGAAGGTGAACTGTGGTTTATTTTTATCAATAGTACCGCTTAAGTCGGCGCTAGGGGCCGTCTTGACCTTGTTGTAGGGTATGAATGATTCGTTCATTGTTGAAGACCCTACATCAACTGTCAAGATGAAGAACAGGAATAAAAGCTCTGTTCACTGGTAATTTTCTATGTTTTCTATGTATTGTGTGCAATTTTGTCCCATGTACATTTACTCCATATCCTTTTATTATCCATTAGAAATGCGTTCGGTTAATCATTTATAGTGGTTCGTCTAATCTGTTATTTGTATAATTGTATTATTTTGTTCATTTGTTCATCTATAATTTCATTTCATGTGTATGATATTATTCACGACGGAATTACAGAACTGGATCATGTCGAACATGGACCAAACCATGAAATTACTTAACCAAACGATGACACCGAATTTTCATTAACATTGAATTATTTGCAACTTTGGCGATTTTTTTCAGTATCATCAAAGCAGTTGTAAATCTTAACAAATAATGTGCTGTTATACAACGAGAAAAGGAACATTTTTTTATGTGTGAAATATAATAGCCCAACATTATGAGTTGTTGTACGCAAGTGTTATTTGTTTCATAGCATTACCTGTTTGATAAAAAGTTGCATTTAAAAACATAATAGTATAAACAAGTTACTTACAAGGCGAAATTTATCTTCATAACTTCTTTTAGGAAAATATTCAAAGTTTACTCTTTGCCAATGTTTGTCATTCAGAAACACTGAACCAAATCATGACCAACTGGACCAAATCATGACAAAAGCACTGTACTTAACACTCCTCGGTATGACGACTTCACTACCTGTGTATATAAAAGGAGCGTTAGGTGTTTTACAATAGCCCGTCTTTGTAGGGTGTACTTGAAGGCTTTGTCTGTTTTCTAATTCCCTTTGTTAATTCTTATAAATACCTGTCTGTCTGTTTCATCAACACAGTACGTTTTTTACTACACATGAACTTAGAGGGGGTGTAGGAGGGGTCCTGATCCCGAAATCCCGGACTTAAAAACATGAAATCCCGAGGTCGCGAATTTAAAGAAATTCAAATCCCGACATCCCAAAATTCGAAAAAAGGAATCCCGGATCCCGAAAGGATCAATCCCGAAATCCCGAGCTTGAAAACACCGGATCCCGAAGTTGCGATAAAGGTCCTCCCCCCCTCCCCCCTCAACTTATGTAGTCAAATAGACATTTTTGACTTTTGTATTATTTTTAATTTTAGTTTCTTGTGTACAATTTGGAGTTTAGTATGGCGTTCATTATCACTGAACTAGTATATATATTTGTTTAGGGGCCAGCTGAAGGACGCCTCCGGGTGCGGGAATTTCTCGCTGCATTGAAGACCTGTTGGTGACCTTCTGCTGTTGTCTGTTCTATGGTCGGGTTGTTGTCTCTTTGACACATTCCCCATTTCCATTTCCATTCTCAATTTTATTTGTAGTCTAGGCATTTATGCGTCTGTATCCACCTTTGCCCCACTGACAACATGTTTATGTGTCCTCACTTCTGATATCTAATCAGAGACCTATAATACATATATAGTATATATGTCTCTGATTTAATAAAAAAAAAAAAAAATTTAAAATGTAAAGAAATATTAGAGTTATCCCTCTTGGTATGTGGCGACAGTTGTGTGAATGGAGAAATGAAAGTAGTTATAGTGTATGTCTGTCTTTTTATGGTTTGTATGCCTGTTGAGGGCCCTGTTAGGGAGCTACCATTTGATTTTTATGGGGGGGGGGGGGGGGGGGGGGCTAGGACGAAAAATTTTGTCCTGCATTTTTTTAGTTGTTATCTCTGTCCTGCCTTTTTATTTTTCACTCTATTCGGTCCTGCCTTTTTTTATTAGTTTATCCTGACTTTTTTTTACATAAATTGTCGTCCTGCCTTTTTTTTTGCCAAGTTTCTCATCCTGCCTTTTTTTCACTAAAAACTCCTGTCCTGCCTTTTTTTCAAATTTCATCCTAGCTCCCTTATAAAAATCAAATGGTAGCTCCCTTATTCGGTTAATAAAATAATTTGAATTTAAATTACACTGTTTCAAGTCTTGTTCACACTGAGAACCTTCATTCTGTATACTATTCTTTCTAGAGTAAGTTCTCACAGAACATAATAAAACCGAGATCAATGAGTTATTAAGGGCAAGATTTTTTATTAGTCGTTATATTTGAACTATTTTTCAGTAACTGCAAGTACCCTCAGATCTGTACTTTGTGTCTTTTGTGTTTTTGTTAGTTTTTTTATGCTTTATATCTATCTGATGAGCTTAGTCCTTTTCAACTGATTTTTATAGTTTGTTACATCACTGTCCTAGGTTAGGGGAGGGTTTGGCGCAAGCAAACATGTTTAACCCAGCCACATTCTGTATGTGCTGTCCCAAGTTGTTATTCGTTATTTGTTTTGCCATAAATCAGGCTGTTGGTTTGAATTGTTCCAAATTTTGTCATGGCGGGTTCTTTTATAGCTGACTTAATGGTATGGGTTTTGCTCATTACTGAAGGCCTTACAGTGACTAATAGTTACTTATAATTACATCCAAGTCCTTTTGTCTCTGGTAAATAGACGGATGAAAAGACGGAAAATTAAGACTGAAAGATGGAAGGACAGTTGGTCAAGGGTAACACTTAATGCCCCTTCCTGAAACGTTGGGGGCATAAAAATTGCCAATACACTGAAGCATGATAGAAGAGGAATGAGATTTAATGTTCTCCCAGAATCTGGAGTATAATACTGATATATACCATATTTATGTTAATGTTATATGCAATTGTAAATGCAGCTTCATGCCAAACGTCAATGTCATCTTGAATGAAATATTTGCAACTGGACATTCTACAAACAACAATAAATTCATCCATGGTCAGGTGTTCATGGTTATTCATAGGTAAAGTTGATTATGCATGACGATGATATGTCAGAGACATTTCGGCCTATTTATTGTTTTTAAATGTAATGCCAAGTAAAAAACTAGAGGAACTGTGAGAATGAAAAGGATATCCCGCCACTTGCAATGTCAAATGTGTTATTTAAGTGCACAAGAACAATTTCAACAAATTGTATAAAAGGGTTCGAGGAGTTACAGATTTATATGAAGCTGACTTTATACAGGAGCTTCTTAGGAAGAAAGAAAAGAAGTTAGCATTATCCTTTAACTTCACGTTCTGCTATATAGATGATGTCTTCTCACTTAATAACTAAAAAATTTGGCTACTTTGTTGAAAGCATCTATCCCATCGAACTTGGTCTTTGTTTGCTGTCTGTCATATTTGTTTGTTTGCTGTCGGTCATATTTGTTTGTTTGCTGTCTGTCATATTTGTTTGTTTGCTGTCTGTCATATTTGTTTGTTTGCTGTCTTTCATATTTGTTTGTTTGCTGTCGGTCATATTTGTTTGTTTGCTGTCTGTCATATTTGTTTGTTTGCTGTCTTTCATATTTGTTTGTTTGCTGTCTGTCATATTTGTTTGTTTGCTGTCTGTCATATTTGTTTGTTTGCTGTATGTCATATTTGTTTGTTTGCTGTTTGTCATATTTGTTTGTTTGCTGTATGTCATATTTGTTTGTTTGCTGTATGTCATATTTGTTTGTTTGCTGTTTGTCATATTTGTTTGTTTGCTGTCTGTCATATTTGTTTGTTTGCTGTCGGTCATATTTGTTTGTTTGCTGTTTGTCATATTTGTTTGTTTGCTGTCTGTCATATTTGTTTGTTTGCTGTCTGTCATATTTGTTTGTTTGCTGTATGTCATATTTGTTTGTTTGCTGTCTGTCATATTTGTTTTTCTTTTATAGTTTTGTCATAAATCAGACAACTGGTTTCTCATTGTAATTGTTTCACATTTTGTTATGTCTGAGCCTTTTATATGTGCTTATACTGTATGGGTTGGGTCATTGTTGAAGGCTGTTGGTGACCTATAGTTACTTACATCCACCTCATTTGAACTTTGGTGGATAGTTGTCTCATTGGCAATCATACCATATATCTCAATATGTGAGAATTTTAAGCCCAATATATTTAATGATGAAGGATAAAAGAGAGGCGAAAAAATACTTAAGGGATATTCAAACTCACAGGTTGAAAACGAATTGACAAAAGACAAACAGTACACAAAACACAACAAAGAAAACTAAAGACTGAGCATCATAAATCAGGTGTTTGGTTTTATAGTTTGAGTTGTCATATTTTGTTATGTCTGGGCTTTTTATAGCTGCTACCGTATGGGTTTTGTTCATTGTTGGAGGCTTTTGGTGGCCTATAATTACTAACATCCACCTAATTTGGACTCTGGTGGATAATTAACTCAAATATCTGAGAATTCGAGCCCAATGATGAACAGGAGAATAGTATAACATAATATATCTATAAAAAAAATGAAGTCTATAAAATGATACTTTATTTTCATAAATTACTTAATTTTATATTATGACCATGTTATGTACAAAATTTAATGATTTAAAACCCCAAAATACACATATATTATGAAAAATGTGTAAAATTACATATAAAATTAAAGTTAAATATTTACAAAAATAAAGTTTGCATAAAATGAATGGACTGAAGATGCGAACAATAACTTCTATTGACAAAATAACTATTTTTTTTCAAGATAATCACTCCCCCCCCCCCCCTGAAATAATAATATAGACAGTATACCCCTCTCAAAATGATATCTTTTTAGCAGAGAAATCTGCTCTTTAAATCAGAGAGTTTACAAATGATGGAACACCAATGTTTACAACTTTGTAAAAGACTAAAAGGAAAACTAAAGGAATTCATCAATAATCGTATTCAGATCTGCATGAAACATCTAAGATTTAAGTTTCTTACTCTAGAAACATCAGGAAGATAGTAATTTTCTTTTGAGTTAATTTTAGTTCAGATGTGTTTTTTTTAACAACATTTTCCAAATACAAATATAAATGTTCTGCAAATATAATACCCTTAAAGTTTTAATTTTCTACAAATCTTTGAAATTATTAATTGATATTCATGAACTAAATCAGTCAATAATATATCAATAAATATTTTTCTCTTAATAAGGAGATATTTTCATTTAGCTAAGCAAGGAATTTTATAGTTAGGATCATTAAAAGAAAAATATGCAATAAAGAAACAATACTAATTTGTTGAAACCACATAATAAATTCTAAACCGGTTTGTTGAAACCACATAATAAATTCTAAACCGGTTTGTTGAAACCACATAATAAATTCTAAACCGGTTTGTTGAAACCACATAATAAATTTCTAAACAGATTTGTTGAAACCACATAATAAATTTCTAAACAGATTTGTTGAAACCACATAATAAATTCTAAACCGGTTTGTTGAAACCACATAATAAATTTCTAAACAGATTTGTTGAAACAACATAATAAATTTCTAAACAGATTTGTTGAAACCACATAATAAATTTCTAAACAGATTTGTTGAAACCACATTATAAATTTCTAAACAGATTTGTTGAAACCACATAATAAATTTCTAAACAGGTTTGTTGAAACCACATAATAAACATGAACATTCAAACATCTATAATCAAAACAATAAAATCTGAATATTATATGATAAAAAATGACTATTTCCTTTAAATATATCTGGGAGGGGAGGGGATTGTTTTTCTCATGCCCCCATTCAAAAGAAAAATAACCATATGCCTTCTATAAAAATGGTCCAGAAATCTCCCAAAAAAACTACAAAATATTTCCAAAATTTGAAGGTAAATGTGAATAGCCCTTACCTGAGGGGCCTGATGGGGGGGGGGGGGTCTCATCACGATTCACGAGTTGATTTTTTTGTCAATCATGATTCACACAAAATAAATTTCCATGATCACGGATCACGAAAATATAAAAAAAAAAATAAATCTGTAGAAAAACGGATCACGATAGCGAAAATGCGCCGATCACGAAGAACGAAAATAACCCATCAGGCCCCTCTTATCTCTGCTTTGTAAAATTCCCTATTATCTGTCAATAAACTAATCATAACATAAGATTTTCATCCAAACTAAAAATATTCTTGAACAAATCCTACATGCTTCTATGGCTTATCCCATTTGTTTAAATATAGCAAAGTCACTGTTTCGTAAAACTAAAAAAAATGTAACAGGGAATGCATAATGGCATTGTGAAAGAAAGTTTCTATCAATCAAGTATAAAGAAAGGAAAGATAAATGGACAAAAGTATATCTAAATGAACGACTATAATGACAAAGTATCAAAATATTCTTCTTATGGAAAAAAGTTCAGACACTGAATGGTCTTTATCATAAATTAAGTCATATATCATGTTTCTTTCAACCAAGATTTTGTTAGTAAATAAAAGATATGAATAGTGTACTCGAAAAACTAAGCTGATACAAACGTACTACTTTATCTTCCAATGAAATACTTTTAATAAAAAAATGTTTAATTGGTTTATTCAGGAATTTGTATAGTAAAATCTTTCTATGCTTATCTTAATTGGGTTATATAAAATTGATTGATTGTTGGTTGCTTAACGTCCAGTGGCAAATATTTCATGCATGTTCAGGACGAGAACAAATTAACAATAAATACAATAGGTAGGTTCAGTAATAGAGGCCGTCCAGGATGAAGGTCAGAGAAATTTAGACTGCCACAGGAAATGAGGGTATATTGGATAGGGACAGAAATTTAGCCTTGCAACAGGTCACCTACGGACCCGGGTTATATAAAATGTTAAGACAAAAGCTGTAAATGTTTGTTCATTGTAATGGAATAGACTCAATCTTTAATAGCTAATAAACATATATCTAATAAAAAGAGGGAAAAAGATAATTTACAAAATAATATATTGTTAAAAATGTCCATAAGAACCTGAAAGAATAAAGTATTTTTACAAAAATGTGTACTAACAATAAATCTGGAATCACATTGCACTTTTTAAGATGAAATTTCTAATGGATAAAGGATGTTCGCTACTCCTTTGTTTTTGTCAAATATTCAAAATCATCTAGTTTTATCCATGTAGTCCCAATAAAAATTTTGCCTGCTAAGCCCTACTCTTCTTTTCATAATTTTATTAAATATAGCCTTTTTAAAGCCATTTTTGAAAACCTTACAAAATCCTTGTTATTTTTCATAGTTTTTGAAAGAAAAAAGGTGCCAATGTTAAATTTATGAAAAATATAGAGAGAGTAATTTCCCGCCAAATTTTCTATTGATTTTATCTCAAAAACAAGGACACAAACCTTTCATTTTTTTCATTTTTTTTCAGTTCCTTTATTTATATACATGTGTACTATCAATTTATTACAGTCTTTTAAAAAGCTTGTTACATTGAAACAGACGAGCCAACATCCTTAAGATGAATTTGGTTTGACATTTCTGATACATTACAATACAATATAATCTCAAGATCAATCAATTCTCTAACCACACATAATCATCATCCAAAACATATTTCATAAAATAACAATAACCTCATTGATATTAATTATGCTCACATCTTAATATTTACGCTATATTTTCATTATATTCAAGGTGGGGGTTGCTTTAAACATGTCATTAAAGGTGGACCTGCCACACCCCCATCCTACACGTTACAAAAAAGAAATTGCAATACGATCAATCAGGGCACTAACCAGAAGTTCTTTTAATCTGTTTCCAATAGATAAACACACTTTAGGCTCTAAGAAAGATAAAATCAGGTAAATACTTTATACAATTTATAATAATAATTCATCATATTAGTTTATTCAAAGGCTAAAAGCACTTGTAAGCAGGCATCTTCTAAACAATGTAAATCTTTATATGGTCAAAAACACATTGCAAAATTAAGTCAATATTTCAAATATCAATGTTCTTTACATTTAAGTTTTAGAATACAGATGTAATTTATTGATATTGGAAACGATTTGTCTCCATGAATAAATAATTGTTTTAGCATGCTATGCCACAAACTTAAGAGGGTACCCAACATTTTCACTAAAATAGATTTTGCTCGTTTAATTTTTATAAAATTTTGAAAAAAATATTTACCTTGACCTGTTGACAAAAATATAAAAATGTCAAGAAATTTGAACCACACAATTTACAGGCATAATTTCATTGGATATATAGCAGTTGAAAAACACTAATTTTGATCATGGAGACGCTTGATTTCTCTTGATTAAACTGTTCAGCTCATTTATAAAGAGTTAACTCCCTTGGGTGTTCTGTACCCCTTAATTACATCATGATTTGTGCCCTTAGTGTCCTGATTTCCAGACAAGTGTAATTTATTGACTTTGTGATGAAGAACAGCAATAATAGCACTATTCCTTAGGGATGTTCGCTCCTCTTGTTTTAGAATTTTTGTCAGATATTCGGAATCCTCTGGTTTTATCCATGTAGTGTCATTAAAAAATTTTCCCCGCTAACCCCTACTTTTCTTTTTATAATTTTATTACTAATAGTTTAAAAAGCCATATTTGAAAATCCTATAAAATCCTTGTAATTTTTTCATAATTTTTGAAAGAAAAAGGGTGCCAATGTTAAAAGTAAGAAAAGTCTAGAGAGAATTATTTCCCGCCAAAATTTCAATGGCTTATATCTCTAAAATAAGCACACAGACCCTACATTTTTTTCTGCTTTTTCAGTTCCTTTATTTATATACTATCAATTTATAACAGTCTTTAAAAAAGCTTGTTATTTTGAAACAGAGTAGCGAACATCCTTAAAAGGTTTCTACTGATACTAAAGTGCAGTGTCTGAATTAAGCAATACTGATATTTATTGAAATGAGATGCATCAATTAGAAATCGACCTTTTACAAGTGCACAAATACACATACATGTATAAGACGTTGATTGATTTTGGAACATTCAAATACGAAATAAAAGATGAATTTTTCTGTTTTGTAGGGTTTTTATAACAACACAATTTTCAAACATTTACAGACTTTGCATAGAGATTTTTTCAAACCGAAATAGGTTAACAGATGTATTGGGATTCATTTGCATAAGGTCGATTTCTATCCGATGCAGTTCAAATTTAAAAGACAGAATAGAGAATTTAAAAAACCAGTTTGGAATTGTAGAATTCTTTTCTGTAAAACCTAAGTAAAAATTTTTCAAGATTTGGAATTCAATTATAATTATCAATGCTATACTGTAACAATAATAATAATATGAATATTCATAACCACATAACGCTATCACATGAATATTCATTACTATTAATATGAATGACAACGTTTTGTTACAAATGGCTAAAAGAAATATCATTTTGCTACGGCACTATACTCTTGCATCTTTTCCCTTTTTGCCTGGACTCTTGCCTGGACTTTTGCCCCTATGACCTTTGCCATGTTTAGGATGAGGCTTGCTAGATGAGGCTGATGATGAATATGGTGGAGGGGGTCCCATGGGAGACTGAAAAAGAAAACAAATATATACTTCACATTGATTTATATTCAATTTTCAAATTTCACTAACAATAACGATGGAATCTTTTGATCGTTTCTATGAGATGCTTAAAAGTCATGCAAAAAGTCATTATAAGTTTAGTTTTTCTGTTCAATTAATATATTTTCCAAGCCTTTATTCATAACTTCAACGTTCAGACAAGTTGTCACAACTCTATGCCACGACATAATTTCATTTGCTATTATTTGAAATTTACCTCTAATTGTATTGAAAGCATTTCCATAAAGAATATACAACCAACAAATAACCTGTCATTGCCAATATACAACTGACTTTAGCCAATATACAACTGACTTTAGCCAATATACAATTGACTTTAGCCAATATACAACTGACTTTAGCCAATATACAACTGACTTTAGCCAATATACAACTGACTTTAGCCAATATTCAACTGACTCTAGCCAATTGTTCAACTGACTCTAGCCAATATACAACTGACTTTAGCCAATATACAACTGACTTTAGCCAATATACAACTGACTCTAGCCAATATACAACTGACTTTAGCCAATATACAACTGACTTTAGCCAATATACAACTGACTCTAGCCAATTGTTCAACTGACTCTAGCCAATATACAACTGACTTTAGCCAATATACAACTGACTTTAGCCAATATACAACTGACTCTAGCCAATATACAACTGACTTTAGCCAATATACAATTGACTCTAGCCAATATACAACTGACTCTAGCCAATATACAACTGACTTTAGCCAATATACAACTGACTCTAGCCAATTGTTCAACTGACTCTAGCCAATATACAACTGACTCTAGCCAATATACAACTGACTCTAGCCAATATACAACTGACTCTAGCCAATTGTTCAACTGACTCTAGCCAATATACAACTGACTTTAGCCAATATACAACTGACTCTAGCCAATTGTTCAACTGACTCTAGCCAATATACAACTGACTTTAGCCAATATACAACTGACTTTAGCCAATATACAACTGACTTTAGCCAATATACAACTGACTTTAGCCAATATACAACTGACTCTAGCCAATATACAACTGACTCTAGCCAATTGTTCAACTGACTCTAGCCAATTGTTCAACTGACTCTAGCCAATATACAACTGACTCTAGCCAATTGTTCAACTGACTCTAGCCAATATACAACTGACTCTAGCCAATATACAACTGACTCTAGCCAATATACAACTGACTCTAGCCAATTGTTCAACTGACTCTAGCCAATATACAACTGACTTTAGCCAATATACAACTGACTCTAGCCAATTGTTCAACTGACTCTAGCCAATATACAACTGACTTTAGCCAATATACAACTGACTCTAGCCAATTGTTCAACTGACTCTAGCCAATATACAACTGACTTTAGCCAATATACAACTGACTTTAGCCAATATACAACTGACTTTAGACAATATACAATTGACTCTAGCCAATATACAACTGACTCTAGCCAATATACAACTGACTCTAGCTAGTCAATTTACAACTTACCTTAACCCCTTTACAAATTGACAAAGCATATTTATGACTGACGGCATCAACTAGATCTTCCTATAAATTTAAAGCTTGCATGTACATCTTTTCCCTTAATTTTCGCAATACTTATTTTCTTTAAACCAACAAATTTTTTCAAGCAATTTAATTTCGGGTTAAAAAAAAGTAAATTGTAAAATGTTGTGAATATTTCAAACTTTGATCTTCTTTGATGTTAATTTTAAAAAATTAAAAATAAATCAGTTGGAAAGAGATAATTTCAAAAATTCAATAAGAATCCCCAAAAATAAGATGGTTTACATAAATCTTTAATAATTATTTTAAAATGATTTTATTCCTTGCAACTTTTGTTTAAGCACTCTTCTTTCAACCACCAAAATATGGAGCAAAATGGTGAAATTCTTTATTACAAATGATTACTTTCCAGCAAAATTAAATTTGATTTACAATCTCACTAGCCTCTGATAAAGGCAGATACTGTAAATTCAGAAAGTTTTGCATGCATTTTTTTGATAAAACCTTTCGGAATTTCAAGTCCTCAATGCTCTTCAACTTCGTACTTTATTATTTGGCACTTTTTTATTTTTTTGATTTGAGCGTCACTGATGAGTCTTTTGTGGACGAAACGCACGTCTGGCGTACAAAATTTCAATCCTGGTATCTATGATGAGTTTATTTATCATTGAAATGGGAGATGAATTACAGCCATAAAATGTTGCTAACAAATAATGCTTTCAAAATTTGAGTTTTAAATTAAGCGAAACCTGCTCTTTTGCAATATTCACAACAATAAAAAAACATTGCAAAAATTTACATAATTATAGTAATTTCAAATAATCTACACTGACTCTGTAAATTATGAATACGAACATTTTCAACGGCCATCACCTATACATTGATATCCTCTAATAGACTTAACTAACTCATAAATGATGTCAGGCATGTATGTATATTATTATGTTTTTTCTGCTATCAGAATTTTTGTGACATCTCTGCCATATTTGAATGATGATTTTAGAATACACAAATTAATATAAAAACCAAATAATGAACTCCAAATTGAATAAGAGTCAGCTGAGAGAGTCACATGAACTCCCAATGGATCAAGAGTCAGCTGAGAGAGTCACATGAACTCCAAATGGAGTGAGAGTCAGCCAAGAGAGTCACATGAACTCCAAATGGAGCCCAAATGGAGTGAAAGTCAGTTGAGAGAGTCATGTGAACTCCAAATAGAGCGAGAGTCACATGTACTCCAAATGGAGCAAGAGTCAGCTGAGAGACCACGTCACTCAGTCAATATTTCATGATAAGGAATTGGACAAAATCAGCAAAATTACAAATCGGACAACAACTCTGATGTCTAAAGATGTGAAGCTGCAATTATATGTAGCTTGTGAGTTGAATTACACATATTTCAGTCACCAATTTGCGACAGTTTAAGTTACGGAGTGGTGATTTCAGTCATTCTTCCAGTTTTTGTGTCAGGAGCACTCACCTTTTAATGAAGATAGTATACTGTGAACATGTAACGTGGGACTGAGAGTTCTGCCATTCATTGCTCTATATTTCTCTCTAATTTTTTGTGTATTTAAAATTTGTTCAGACCAGTTGATAAATTTTTAAAACATTACATTTTAAATAAATTTTTATGCATATTTTATGCATATTTTCCATCCAATTTTTTTTGGAGTTTTTCATAAAATCACTGGAATAACAACCCAATCAATATTCATTTATCCACTCTCAATAATCAAATACTCAAATTTTAATTGAAGATAAATATTGATAAATTCATCAGCGCCATTCCCAGTTTTTATGTGAAGGATTATTGCTTCAGTTTTAGTATCTAATTTTTAGTGTTGTCTATCTTATGACTTCAGATGGTTCATGGTTTCTCCTGTCAGACAGACAATTCATGACAGCTAGAAAAAAATTGTCATGACAAAATGTGTTGATGTTTTTGAACCTGGTATGAATTTTTTTAATTTTCACATCACATGCAGAAACTAGAAGCATGCATAGTAAAAGTTTGGTAGACAGTTTACGCTACAGATTCATTATATTTCAGATTTTATTATAATAATATAGTATGAAGTGTAACTACATAGAAATTCTTATAATCTGTAACTTATTGTCAGGTGTAACTAAAGTCTTTATTGTCAGGTGTAACTAAAGTCTTTATTGTCAGGTGTTCTACAGGACAATAAGAATCATTGGTTTGTACCAACAAAGTCTGTATGTCAGGTGTTCTACAGGACAATAAGAATCATTGGTTTGGACCAACAAAGTCTGTATGTCAGGTGTTCTACAGGACAATAAGAATCATTGGTTTGTACTAACAAAGTCTGTATGTCAGGTGTTCTACAGGACAATAAGAATCATTGGTTTGTACCAACAAAGTCTGTATGTCAGGTGTTCTACAGGACAATAAGAATCATTGGTTTGTACCAACAAAGTCTGTATGTCAGGTGTTCTACAGGACAATAAGAATCATTGGTTTGTACCAACAAAGTCTGTATGTCAGGTGTTCTACAGGACAATAAGAATCATTGGTTTGTACCAACAAAGTCTGTATGTCAGGTGTTCTACAGGACAATGTGAATCATTGGTTTGTACCAACAAAGTCTGTATGTCAGGTGTTCTACAGGACAATAAGAATCATTGGTTTGTACCAACAAAGTCTGTATGTCAGGTGTTCTACAGGACAATAAGAATCATTGGTTTGGACCAACAAAGTCTGTATGTCAGGTTTGTATAGACCAATGTGAATCATTGGTTTGGACCAACAAAGTCTGTATGTCAGGTTTGTATAGACCAATGTGAATCTTTGGTTTGGACCAACAAAGTCTGTATGTCAGGTGTTCTACAGGACAATAAGAATCATTGGTTTGGACCAACAAAGTCTGTATGTCAGGTTTGTATAGACCAATGTGAATCATTGGTTTGGACCAACAAAGTCTGTATGTCAGGTTTGTATAGACCAATGTGAATCTTTGGTTTGGACCAACAAAGTCTGTATGTCAGGTTTGTATAGACCAATGTGAATCATTGGTTTGGACCAACAAAGTCTGTATGTCAGGTGTTCTACAGGACAATAAGAATCATTGGTTTGTACCAACAAAGTCTGTATGTCAGGTGTTCTACAGGACAATAAGAATCATTGGTTTGTACCAACAAAGTCTGTATGTCAGGTTTGTATAGACCAATGTGAATCATTGGTTTGTACCAACAAAGTCTGTATGTCAGGTGTTCTACAGGACAATAAGAATCATTGGTTTGTACCAACAAAGTCTGTATGTCAGGTGTTCTACAGGACAATAAGAATCATTGGTTTGTACCAACAAAGTCTGTATGTCAGGTGTTCTACAGGACAATAAGAATCATTGGTTTGTACCAACAAAGTCTGTATGTCAGGTGTTCTACAGGACAATAAGAATCATTGGTTTGTACCAACAAAGTCTGTATGTCAGGTGTTCTACAGGACAATAAGAATCATTGGTTTGTACCAACAAAGTCTGTATGTCAGGATTGTATAGACCAATGTGAATCATTGGTTTGTACCAACAAAGTCTGTATGTCAGGTGTTCTACAGGACAATAAGAATCATTGGTTTGTACCAACAAAGTCTGTATGTCAGGTGTTCTACAGGACAATGTGAATCATTGGTTTGTACCAACAAAGTCTGTATGTCAGGTGTTCTACAGGACAATAAGAATCATTGGTTTGGACCAACAAAGTCTGTATGTCAGGTTTGTATAGACCAATGTGAATCATTGGTTTGGACCAACAAAGTCTGTATGTCAGGTTTGTATAGACCAATGTGAATCTTTGGTTTGGACCAACAAAGTCTGTATGTCAGGTGTTCTACAGGACAATAAGAATCATTGGTTTGGACCAACAAAGTCTGTATGTCAGGTTTGTATAGACCAATGTGAATCATTGGTTTGGACCAACAAAGTCTGTATGTCAGGTTTGTATAGACAAATGTGAATCTTTGGTTTGGACCAACAAAGTCTGTATGTCAGGTTTGTATAGACCAATGTGAATCATTGGTTTGTACCAACAAAGTCTGTATGTCAGGTGTTCTACAGGACAATAAGAATCATTGGTTTGTACCAACAAAGTCTGTATGTCAGGTGTTCTACAGGACAATAAGAATCATTGGTTTGTACCAACAAAGTCTGTATGTCAGGTGTTCTACAGGACAATAAGAATCATTGGTTTGTACCAACAAAGTCTGTATGTCAGGTTTGTATAGACCAATGTGAGTCATTGGTTTGTACCAACAAAGTCTGTATGTCAGGTGTTCTACCGGACAATAAGAATCATTGGTTTGTACCAACAAAGTCTGTATGTCAGGTGTTCTACAGGACAATGTGAATCATTGGTTTGTACCAACAAAGTCTGTATGTCAGGTGTTCTACAGGACAATAAGAATCATTGGTTTGGACCAACAAAGTCTGTATGTCAGGTTTGTATAGACCAATGTGAAGCATTGGTTTGGACCAACAAAGTCTGTATGTCAGGTTTGTATAGACCAATGTGAATCTTTGGTTTGGACCAACAAAGTCTGTATGTCAGGTGTTCTACAGGACAATAAGAATCATTGGTTTGGACCAACAAAGTCTGTATGTCAGGTTTGTATAGACCAATGTGAATCATTGGTTTGGACCAACAAAGTCTGTATGTCAGGTTTGTATAGACCAATGTGAATCTTTGGTTTGGACCAACAAAGTCTGTATGTCAGGTTTGTATAGACCAATGTGAATCATTGGTTTGTACCAACAAAGTCTGTATGTCAGGTGTTCTACAGGACAATAAGAATCATTGGTTTGTACCAACAAAGTCTGTATGTCAGGTGTTCTACAGGACAATAAAAATCATTGGTTTGGACCAACAAAGTCTGTATGTCAGGTTTTTTATAGACCAATGTGAATCATTGGTTTGGACCAACAAAGTCTGTATGTCAGGTGTTCTACAGGACAATAAGAATCTTTGGTTTGTACCAACAAAGTCTGTATGTCAGGTTTTGTATAGACCAATGTGAATCATTGGTTTGGACCAACAAAGTCTGTATGTCAGGTTTTGTATAGACCAATGTGAATCATTGGTTTGGACCAACAAAGTCTGTATGTCAGGTTTGTATAGACCAATGTGAATCATTGGTTTGTACCAACAAAGTCTGTATGTCAGGTTTTGTATAGACCAATGTGAATCATTGGTTTGGACCAACAAAGTCTGTATGTCAGGTTTGTATAGACCAATGTGAATCTTTGGTTTGGACCAACAAAGTCTGTATGTCAGGTTTGTATAGACCAATGTGAATCATTGGTTTGTACCAACAAAGTCTGTATGTCAGGTGTTCTACAGGACAATAAGAATCATTGGTTTGTACCAACAAAGTCTGTATGTCAGGTGTTCTACAGGACAATAAGAATCATTGGTTTGGACCAACAAAGTCTGTATGTCAGGTTTTGTATAGACCAATGTGAATCATTGGTTTGGACCAACAAAGTCTGTATGTCAGGTGTTCTACAGGACAATAAGAATCTTTGGTTTGTACCAACAAAGTCTGTATGTCAGGTTTTGTATAGACCAATGTGAATCATTGGTTTGTACCAACAAAGTCTGTATGTCAGGTTTTGTATAGACCAATGTGAATCATTGGTTTGGACCAACAAAGTCTGTATGTCAGGTGTTCTACAGGACAATAAGAATCTTTGGTTTGTACCAACAAAGTCTGTATGTCAGGTTTTGTATAGACCAATGTGAATCATTGGTTTGTACCAACAAAGTCTGTATGTCAGGTTTTGTATAGACCAATGTGAATCATTGGTTTGGACCAACAAAGTCTGTATGTCAGGTTTGTATAGACCAATGTGAATCATTGGTTTGGACCAACAAAGTCTGTATGTCAGGTTTGTATAGACCAATGTGAATCATTGGTTTGGACCAACAAAGTCTGTATGTCAGGTTTGTATAGACCAATGTGAATCATTGGTTTGTACCAACAAAGTCTGTATGTCAGGTTTTGTATAGACCAATGTGAATCATTGGTTTGGACCAACAAAGTCTGTATGTCAGGTTTTGTATAGACCAATGTGAATCATTGGTTTGGACCAACAAAGTCTGTATGTCAGGTTTTGTATAGACCAATGTGAATCATTGGTTTGGACCAACAAAGTCTGTATGTCAGGTTTTGTATAGACCAATGTGAATCATTGGTTTGGACCAACAAAGTCTGTATGTCAGGTTTGTATAGACCAATGTGAATCATTGGTTTGTACCAACAAAGTCTGTATGTCAGGTTTTGTATAGACCAATGTGAATCATTGGTTTGGACCAACAAAGTCTGTATGTCAGGTTTGTATAGACCAATGTGAATCATTGGTTTGTACCAACAAAAACTGTATGTCATGTTTTGTATAGACCAATGTGAATCATTGGTTTGTACCAACAAAGTCTGTATGTCAGGTTTTGTATAGACCAATGTGAATCATTGGTTTGGACCAACAAAGTCTGTATGTCAGGTTTGTATAGACCAATGTGAATCTTTGGTTTGTATCAACAAAGTCTGTATGTCAGGTTTTGTATAGACCAATGTGAATCATTGGTTTGTACCAACAAAGTCTGTATGTCAGGTTTTGTATAGACCAATGTGAATCATTGGTTTGGACCAACAAAGTCTGTATGTCAGGTTTTGTATAGACCAATGTGAATCTTTGGTTTGTATCAACAAAGTCTGTATGTCAGGTTTTGTATAGACCCATGTGAATCATTGGTTTGGACCAACAAAATTTGAAGCTAAAAAGTTGACCCTGTCCATTTTTCTCTTACTGTTTATAGTTTAAGAGATATGAGCCAAAACTGTAGTTTGACCCCATGTTCTATTTTTAGACGCAGTGGTCATGTTGGCTGATCAAGCTGGACTAAAAATCACAAAATCATATTTGACAGCTTATAGATGTAGCAGACATACTTTGGTTTCAATTTATTGAGCAGTTTCAGAGAAGAATTTTTAAAGAAAAATTTATAGACGACAGACACAAAGTGATGGCAAAGGATCATAATGCCCTTCAAGCCAGGTGAGCTAAAAATGAAGAGGTATAAGCTGACAAAAAAAACCTGTCCAAATAAACAAGGTGGGTTGAAATCAGAACTAAGCAAAATATACCATGATAAAAATAGAATATCTATAAATAGATCAGGATATACCATGATATTGATAAAAATAGAATATCTATAAATAGAATATTACAAATGTATATTGTTGACTTACCACATTACATGTGAGACACATGCATGTTTTTCTATAAATATAATTATAATTTCATCTTTAAGCCAAATTGCTTTATAGGATAAATAACATTTAAAAGCTGCTTTATAACAATTATAACAATATTTATAAACAAAGCAACTAAACACAGACGATTAATATAAATAACATAAGTCTTACCAGCTTGAAGTTAAAACATTTATAAACAAAGCAAGTAAATACTGACGATGAAATGTAACAAACACAAGTCTTGCCCACCTGAAGTCAAAAGAGTGTTTTTATTCTGTCCACAAGGTCTATTTATCTTTAATTGGATTATTACATATAAGAATTTAAACTTTACTTTCACTTTGTTCATTTTATTCATAGTTTGTTAAAAGTGCTTAAAAAAATAAATAAATGAAAAACCGTCTACAGTTGTGTATAATACGCATCCCATCTACAAAGTATATGTCTTAGGTAAAAAAGTGTGTACACTACCAATACGGTAATTGGAACAACAGGTTTAGAATCCTGGTTCCAATCAACTCATGTCTGACTAAGTCAACTTTGGATGTTTTCCTTAACTCATATGATTTGCAAACAATTTATATATCTAAGCCATAAATACAGATAGCAAACACAGACATGACTTAGACCTACCACCACCAAACAGAAATCTAAGTAGCTTTGCTTCAGGGCTATTACAGTCTGCACCAAAATCTTTTCCAACTACTATTCCGAAGACCAATATTAATATTCCAACATTTTTCTAATGTGTCCAAATAAAGTTTTGCAAATACTTACTAGTCCTAACAAAATTTTACATGTCTGGGACATCAGACTAGTGGATAATGGTGCAGACTGATATTATTTTATTTCTCTTCAACAAAATGTTCAATACTAATCGCTAATTATCATTTAAATCTTTTTTCAAATAAAAAAAAATAAATATATACAACAGATTATCATGTGTGTGATTAATGAATAATACCAGACTTTGTTATGTGCAGTTCACCCTACAGACCCTCAGTGCATGCTGTATATTGTGCTATGTCTGTTTATAAGTTTCTAGCTCTATAAAATTGGTAAGGGTTCCACGGAACCCAGTGTCTCGCCTACTTTTGCTGTTAATCGCAGGCTCAACAAAAATGAGGAAAAAATTAATAAAAATATTCCTCTCTATACTATCTTTTGATTGTAAGTAGCTTCTGTCCAAGTTTGGTAAAAATCCAGGATAGTTTATGAATCTAATAAGTGTTTTAAAAACTTAAACTGCAGACTGTATGTAATGTTAACTGGAAGAAAAACTAAGTCCATTTATAAGTAAAATACGGAAAAAATGGAACAAAATTTTAACAAAATTTCCTTCTAGATACTAGCTTTATATCATAAACAAGCTTCTGTCCGAGTTTGGTACAAATCCAGGAAAGTTTAAGAAAGTTGTTAAAATTTTAAAAACTTTAACCACAGAGAGAATGTAATGTTAACTGGCAGAAAAACTAAGTCCATTTATAAGTAAAATATGCAAAAAATGGATTTTTTTTTTACAAAATTTACTTCTGGATACTATCTTATGATCATAAACAAGCTAAGCTTCTTTCCAAGTTTGGTAGAAATCCAGGATAGTTTAAGAAAGTTATTAAAATTTCAAAAACTTTAACCACAGAGTGAACATGGTGAATGTAATGTTTCTCGGCAGAAAAACTAAGTCCATTTATAAGTAAAATACGGAAAAAAAGGAATTTTTTTTTTACAAAATTTACTTTTGAATATTATCTTATGATCATAAACAAGCTTCTGTCAAAGTTTGGTAGAAATCCAGGATAGTTTAAGAAAATTATTAAAATTTCAAAAACTTTAACCACAGAGTGAATGTAATGTTTCTCGGCAGAAAAACTAAGTCCATTTATAAGTAAAATACGGAAAAAATGGAATTTTTTTTTTACAAAATTTACTTTTGAATATTATCTTATGATCATAAACAAGCTTCTGTCCAAGTTTGGTAGAAATCCAGGATAGTTTAAGAAAGTTGTTAAAATTTCAAAAACTTTAACCACAGAGTGAATATTTGTGGACGCAGCCGACGACGACGACGCCGACGGAATGTAGGATCGCTATGTCTCGCTTTTTCGACAAAAGTCGAAGGCTCGACAAAAAGGGAGATAACTTAATACCTTCATAGTTTTGAAAACCAATAGCATTAAAATTGTTTTGATTATTTGATCATTCAGATAATATTATAAAATTGATATCTTCATTATTCTGAAACCAATATTTTAAGAACTGTTTTGTTAAGTGTGAATTTGGAAAATTTTTTGTGAGGTCTAGTTTTTGCTAATTTAGCAAATAAAATCAAATCATCAAATTTGTTTAAAAATATTTTCTTTACGAGGTTCAAATGAAAATGCCAAATAAAACCATGCAAAAGTTTCACAGATATTGCACATTTTGTGCCTGTGCCAAGTCTGCCTAAATATCTTTCTGAACTATGTGTTGTTCTTTGGTTTTCATCAATGTTCGTACCTCTATTTGTTTCGGGGAGTCAGGTGCTGGTGGACGGATCGGTTTGTTGGTACAATAATATAATTAATTCCTATTCTCCTCTGTAAGTGCCAATCTGTCTAAGAATCAGGCAGTCGTGAAAACATGACAAAAAAAAACGTCTTAAGTTTACATTAATTTAAGTTTAAAAAGTATAATGGTTTCTTTTCCTGTTCTTGCATTCTGTTGAATTACGACATGCAGAAACCAAAGACCTACCATATCTAAATCAGGATTAGGGTTACTTCAAAATAGTATGGTTAGGTAGGCAGGTTTTTTCGGCCATGTTTTAGAAATTCTTCTATATTGCCAGATTCTTACAAAGACTGGCACTTAAGTATGATTAACTTAGTAACATACCATGTAATATTAAAACTTTGTGAATTATTCTGCTCATTCAAGAGACTCAACAGTGAATTTACACAGTACAGAGACTGATATACCCTGTGCATAACAAAATTTCAGCTACATATATATGCAGTCAGGGAATGAAGTTAAAATTTTGGCATGGTAGCCCACAGCTTTGATTTTGTAGCCCACATATATAGTCCTATACAAGAAAAGCAGAAATTTAAGTAGCCCACACCAAATTTTAGGGGCCATTGCCGAGCGGGCCCCTGCTAATTTCAAACCCTGGCAGTTAACAACAAATGTATTTATGTATTTGAATATAATGGTCTATTTAAGTTATCGTTTTTAGACTTAAATTTTATAGAATAAGCTAATAAATGTGTTTATTTAAATTATTGGTCCTCTAAAACAACTATAACCACTTCAGTCAGCAATTTGTTTGGAAGTCAGTTCATTCTACTTTTAAAAATATCACAACAATTTTAAACTAATTAACTAAAGCAATATAAGTCAAAGGAGATGATGTGCACAACAATTTGTATAATTCCACAAATAACAAGGAGGAATTGAAAAGCACATGAAACAAAAAACAAAAAAATTGAACAAATAACAAATATATAAAATAAAAACTTTAGTAATGAAATAACAAATAAATAAATTCAAATTAGAGAACATTTTGAAGTTGAAAGATGAATTTCTGAATTCTTTAATATTAATAAAAAAATATATTTAAGGCCATCCTAAAAGAATTCTTTTATAGCATATCATGAATCGAAAGGGTGTAGCTTTTACTGATTGATGAAAGGAAAAGGGATGTAATAGCTACTATTTGGCCACTGAATTTTCAAAAGGAAAGCAAAATTCAAAAGAAAATTCAAAATTGAATCCATTTCATCGATAAATAAAAAGGTTGATATAATCTGGTTTACTTCAGTGCAAAAATGCCATTGGTAATATGAAATTCAAAATAAATCAAATTAATTTTAAATGGGGTGGTATAATTTAGTCACTTCAGTGCAGAAATGTCATTGGTAACCTAAATGTGAATCCATAAACATGAAAAATTGCCAATGTCCATTTCACCTACAGTTTTAGGTGAAACTAAAAATGAGTGAAAACCTTAACCAAAAAGAATATTTGCGTTTATATTGAGTTATTTATACTACAAAAAAGAACTTATGAATATAATAATTAGTCATTTCTAACAATCTCAACTATTTAAGCACACAGACAGTTAAGCTTTGGGTGGTTTTTAGATTGAAGGTTTTGCAAGGTTAGGGCAAAGTTAAACAAAGAATAGATTTAGGAAGGCTTAATTAATCTTCAAAACTATGAAGTTACCAAGTCAAGACTAACAACTAGAACACAGATTTACCTGTCCTATTCTTAATTCTAAATATAGAACTCTATTTATAGAATTCTATTTATAGTCCACCAATGGTACATGTGGAGAATGCTGAAAACGGGGAAATTTCTATTAGTTCCAAATTCTGCGTTACCATATTTATTAGAATTACTACAGAACAATTTTCTGTTTAATGAGAGAGAGAAAAACTAATAATTTATTGTACTAATTCATGATCTCTGGAACGCTCATAAAGAACTGGTAGATTCTAGGACAAATACAATCTAGAAATAATGGGAGCAAAGCTCACAAAATGATAATCACTGCCCAGACAAAAAGCATGGCAAAGTCTATAATCTGTTAAGAAGCTCCTAAAAATTTCAGTCATAAACAAAAGAGGATGTGAACAATGGCATTACTTTATTGAGTTTCAGAATATTTTTTTTTTTCTATTAAATTATGAATAGGGTTATAGAAACAAATAATAAAATGCTTCGCTGAGCGCAGCCTGATACCACCACAGAGGTCAATCCCTGAACAGTTGGGGCAAGTTTTGACACAATATTCAAGCTTGATACTGTCTGAATTTGGATTGTGATCAAATTTTTGACATAATATAGGTTTCTGACACAAAAAAAATGTGGTCAAAGTTCTTAAAAATCGATTGCGCAATACTGTGCTATTGCGCAATACTTTCAATTGAAGATTTCTTCTTGAAACTTTTTAAAACATTTGAAATTTCAAAAATTTTGAAGAAAAAAAATTTGGAAAAAAAATCCACCCCCTATCTTTTGGACCCCCCCTTTGAGTAATTACCCCCAAACTCAATCCCAGCCTTGCCTTTGAGGTATGGAACCTTGTAGTACAATTTTAGAGAGATTCATACATTAAACACAAGTTATTGTCCGGAAACTAGAAAAATGCTTGTTTTTGGCCCCTTTTTCACCCGTAATTCCTGCATGTTTGGGGCAATTAACCCCAAACTCAATCCCAGCCTTCCCTTTGTGATATGGAACCTTGTGGTACAATTTCAGTGAGATCCATACACTTACACACAAGTTATTGTCTGGAAACTACAAAAATGCTTGTTTTTGGTCCCTTTTTGGCCCCTAATTCCTAAAATGTTGGTACCATAACCCCCAAAATTAATCCCAACCTTCCTTTTGTGGTATTGAACCTTCTTGTACAATTTCATAGAGATCCATTCGCTAAAACTAAAGCTATTGTTCGGAAACCAAATGTGTCTTCGTACGACGACAACATCATAGCATTATACGAACCCAAAAAATTTGTTTGCGGTCGTATAAAAATGTGAACTGCAGTGTGCCTATGTAACAAAGTCCATGTCATGCCAAAGTGAACCCCAAAAATCATATGAATGAAAAAATTGAAAATAGGATGTGCAAAAAAATATCATTTGAGAAAAAATCTGTGAAAGTTTCCTTAAATACCATCAAGCAGTATAGGAGCAGCTTCAGATACAAAAGTTGGACGAAAGGATGAAAAAAGAAGCCACCCCAATCACTATATACCACCTGTTTCAGAAAGCAGGGGTACAAAAAGTTGATCTCTTGTTGTTTGGCAATTCTATATGTATTTTTCGAGGGGGGGTTTTCAGAAAAGAATGGTCAATGTATTAAATTCTATAAAGATCTACCAAATTATAAAAGGAAATACACAAAAATTTTGTCATTGTACCAAGGTTAGCTTCAATCCCTCTATTATAAATTTGTAAGGAAAATAGATTTTCATACGGACAAAAAGTAACAAAATGATGAAAAATAAAACTGCTTTATTCTGATTCCATGCAACTAAAATGACTAAGGAACAATGCATTTTTTCTAAGATAATCACACAACACAACTAGACATGCACTTTTGTTAAGTAGCCATCTGTATTTTCTAGGTGTATTTGTTTCTTATTTCTATTTTATTAAATGACAATACTAGAAAAGACAAAACATGGTCAAAACCAAGTTGTATTAAGTCAGACATTAAATAGCAAAATCTCTTTTTAACCCTTAGACTGCTGCATTCATTTCTATTGTACTTTTGTGTATTGCTGAATAAATTGTTTATCACCGATGAAATAAACATGTTTACTTATAATTGCTATATCTTTGTTAATATTCATTATTCATTGATAAAAGTTATATAAAAAAGTATTTTTGGATTCTGTATTTTTTATCTATTTTTATTTTTTGTTTGTACTTGGTCATTTTTTACCTGTACAGGTGCAAATAGAGATAAACAGAGGTAATTCAACAAAATCTCTTTTATGAACTAGTTCTATTGTGATTATCAAAAGAAAAAACTTTCATCTCAGACCAGCGGCCTTTTTTTTGCTACTATTTTCCTTCAGACTTTCACTGCACAGACGTTTACTTCCATGAACAAAAATATGTTTAACTAACAGATTCATTGATAAAGGTTTCGTCAATAAATAATCTAAAACAAAGAAAAACTTTGGAACTATCAATATCTGTTATCAATTTTGTTTCACAGTCTAATGGCGCAATGATATCATCACAATCCTGTCTTATGTCCATCTGTTTTGTACAACATCTGGGAAATCCCAGTGGTTCTCTCATTAAAAGTCTTCTGTTGCCAGATTTTCTAGGATGTTTCTATTTCCATCTATCATATCTTTCTGTTCTCATCCAAATCGGCCTCCGCTGTCACGTCATTATCATTGAAATAATTCTTAACTTGTTGGCCATCACTCCAAACAATATCCGCCATTTTGTTACCTTTTTTATGAAAATTTTTCACTTTTGGTTTTATTGACTATACCTGATTTAAAGTCAAGAGAAACTCGAAAACACACTGAATTTTAACCAATCAAAATTAATACAAGTCTAAAATGCTGCAATCTCATGAATATTGACTATGCCCATTCCATGGTAACCATGTAAACAAGTTGTAAAACGAGTTACGGAAACAACAATAGTCGTGTGTAGCAGTGGCGGACTGCGTTATCAGAACAACAATAGTCGCGTGTAGCAGTCTAAGGGTTAAAAATGGTTATGAAAAGTCTCAAAATTAGAAATACTGATATAAATTCTTACAGAGCACAGTTAACTTTATAATTTTTTCTTCTACAGGTTTCTTAATATGTCTGAAAATTAATGATCTGGTATGACAAAATCAAATGAATGCAAGTTTCATTTATAGAAACTGTGGTAACAGAAACTTAAACACTTAGGTCACTAACAATTTAGTTAAGATTACCATCTACATAAGTCTTTAAAATTTTTATGTTTAAAGATTTTTTTAAACTATACAGAAATTACGGCAGCTATTGCCGATATAGAATCAGAAAAAGATGGGACTTAAAATATCCTCCTTCTTAATGTTCCACAAAAAATGCTAAACTTCTGATAAACAAGATGGTTCCTAAATGACTATCTCAACCAATTATAATAATGTACCCAATGTAAATACCCATGTTACTTAGTGTTCATATCAGTATGCTATAAAATAGTGAAATTCATCCTACACATCCACATTATAATTAATGTGCACTACTTACTTGTTGTCGTAGAGGTTCCTGACTATAACCAGAATGTTGTTGTTGTTGTCTGCTACGTGGATGTGATCGTCTCCTCCGTAGTGTGTCACCCCAGTTCTGTGCTGGTGGCGCCTTTGGATTACTACTTGGTGTGTGTACTGCACAAACTTTTATAAAGAGTCCCATAAATAATATAAGTCCTATAGCAATAAGTATTACTGCCCACCAATATTCCTGAAAACATATTTAAAGCATTTATCAATTGTTATCTTTACTGAAAATCTGTCTGACTGATATTATAACAGTAAAACAATGTTAAGAAAAACAATTATGAAGAAAGAAAAATTCTTTTAAATCAAACTAGAAGTACTGCTAGGAAACATCAAGAAAAATGATAACCCTGTATTCATCTGAATATATATGTTAACATATTAAAGAAAACATATAGTCGATGAAGTTATGTGGTAGCCAAAATTATTCATCAGTCAAAAGATATACACCGATACAACTTTGAAAATTTGTAACCTTGTCCTATCAGACTAAATTTTGTTTGGGTTGGGAGAGTACAATAATGCATTGTTAGAAAAGGGAGTATGAGAATGGTTGTACACAATGTCCTTTAAGTGTTGCTGTTACCCCAGCCTGAAGAGTGTTTTTTTAAAACAATTATCTAAATGCAGAACATTATTACTTACAGTTATCCAATCTTTTATGTTTGTGAATGTTTCAGAACTAAATAATAGATTCTTTAATCTTGACAGTGGACCCTCTGCATCAACTCCTCTGCAACGTTTAAATACATCACAATATCCTTGGTATTTGTTACAAGGTGATCCTGAAAAAAGAAACAAAGTTATTTTCCTTCAGTTGATCTTTCCTCAATTTTTTTTTAATCAAAATCAACAAGTAGAGCTGTAAGCTTCTACTCACTAATGATACATCTGCTTTACGTATTTGTTAAACAGAAAGCTGAAGAAAAATCATTCTAAATACATATTACATGTTTAATCCTATTCAGATGAAGCCTAATAAAAAATTTCAGGAAGCTCTTATTCTATTCATATTTATTATATCTAGAATATATAAGTATTTGGTAAACAGGAAATTGATAAGCACATGAAGCCAAATAAAAAGTTTCAGAAAGTTCTGATTTGTAGTTCGTAAGAAACATCCGAATAGATTTCAAATGAATACACATGCTAAAATTGAAGTCTTAATCAGTTTTAAACATCTATCATGGACATTTATCCTCTTATCTTGGTAAACTGTAAATTGTAATGGTTAAATCATAATTGAATGAAATAAATGAGGAATGTGTCCATGGGACACAGATGATGCCCCTGCTTGCATATCATATAAAGTTATAAAGGGACATTACTGAAGAAATGTAGAAGTGACGCTACCCGAATTTGTACTTGATCTGAGTTTTGTGGTAATAAGTATTGTGTATAAGTTTCATAACATTTGGTTGAGGCAAACTAAAGTAAGAGAACAGAAACGAAACAATTCAGCAATTTTGCCATATGTAAAGGGCATAACTCTAGAACATTAAAAGTGACACCACCAAAATTCCAACTTGAACTGTATTTTGTGGTAATAAGCATTGTGAATAAGTTTCATAACATTTGGTTGAGGCTAACTTAAGTTAGATAAGAAACGAAAAATTCAGCAATTTTTCCATTCTTAAAGGGGCATAACTCTAGAAAAGTTAGAGAATGGAAACCAATTTCGGAACGTACAGACATACAGAGGTTCAAGGGTAAAACTTATTACCCCCCTCCGCTATGACAGGGGCATAATTAGTCACTTGGCCATGGATTACAACTAGAGGCTCTAAAGAGCCTGTGTCGCTCACCTTGGTCTATGTGCATATTAAACAAAGGACACAGATGGATTCATGACAAAATTGTGTTTTGGTGATGGTGATGTGTTTGTAGATCTTACTTTACTGAACATTCTTGCTGCTTACAATTATCTCTTTCTATAATGAACTTGGCCCAGTAGTTACAGTGGAAAATATTTTGTAAAAATTTACAAAAATTTACAAAATTTATGAAAATTCTAAAAAATTGACTATAAAGGGCAATAACTCCTTAAGGGGTCAATTGACAATTTTGGTCATGTTGACTTATTTGTAGATCTTACTTTGCTGTACATTATTGCTGTTTACAGTTTATCTCTATCTATAATAATATTCAAGATAATAACCCAAAGCTGCAAAATTTTCTTAAAATTACCAATTCAAGGCAACAACCCAACAACGTGTTGCAGGATTGGTTTGAAAATTTCAGGGCAGATAGATCTTGACCTTATGAACAATTTTATCCTGTCAGATTTGCTCCTGATGGTTTGGTTTCAGAGATATGAGCCAAAAACTGCATTTTACCCTATGTACTATTTTTTAGCCATGTCGGCCATCTTGGTTCGTGGGGGGGGAGGGGGGTCATCGGACACATTTTTTAAACAAGATACCCTAATGACGATTATGGACAAGTTTGGTTAAATTTGTCTTAGTAGTTTTAGAGGAGAAGATTTTTGTAAAAGATCACAAAAATTTACGAAAAATGGTTAAAAATTGACTATAAAGGGCAATAACTTCTTAAGGGGTCAATTGACAATTTTGATCAAGTTGACTTATTTGTAGATCTTACTTTGCTGAACATTATTGCTGTTGCAGTTTATCTCTATCTATAACAATATTCAAAATAATAACCAAAAACGGCAAAATTTCCTTAAAATTACCAATTCAGGGGCAGCAACCCAACAACGGGTTGTCCGATTCATCTGAAAATTTCAGGGCAGATAGATCTTTACCTGATAAACAATTTAACCCCCATGTCAGATTTGCTATGAATGCTTTGGTTTTAGAGATATAAGCCAAAATCTACATTTTACCCCTATGTTCTATTTTTAGCCATTGCGGCATCTTGGTTGGTTGGCCTGGTCACCGGACACATTTTTTTAAACTAGATACCCTAATAATGATTGTGGCCAAGTTTGGTCAAATTTGGCCTAGTAGTTTCAGAGGAGAAGATTTTTGTAAAAGTTTACGGACCACGGACGCAGGACACAGGACGCAGGACGACGGATGCCAAATGATGAGAAAAGCTCACTTGGCCCTTTGGGCCAGGTGAGCTAAAAAGGGAGATATGTCTTTCCAACCATATGTCCTCATTCAAAAGCCTTGATCTTCTAAACTAGAGGCTCTAAAGAGCCTGTGTCGCTCACCTTGGTCTATGTGCATATTAAACAAAGGACACAGATGGATTCATGACAAAATTGTGTTTTGGTGATGGTGATGTGTTTGTAGATCTTACTTTACTGAACATTCTTGCTGCTTACAATTATCTCTATCTATAATGAACTTGGCTCAGTAGTTCAGGTGGAAAATATTTTGTAAAAATTTACAAAATTTATGAAAATTGTAAAAAATTGACTATAAAGGGCAATAACTCCTTAAGGGGTCAATTGACAATTTTGGTCATGTTGACTTATTTGTAGATCTTACTTTGCTGTACATTATTGCTGTTTACAGTTTATCTCTATCTATAATAATATTCAAGATAATAACCAAAAGCTGCAAAATTTTCTTAAAATTACCAATTCAGGGGATGCAACCCAACAACGTGTTGCCAGCTGATTGGTCTGAAAATTTCAGGGCAGATAGATCTTGACCTAATGAACAATTTATTTCAATGTCAGATTTGCTTTAAATGCTTTGGTTTCAGAGATATGAGCCAAAAACTGCATTTTACCCTATGTACTATTTTTAGCCATGTCGGCCATCTAGGTTCGCAGGGGGGGGGGGGGGGGGGGGGGTGTGTCATCGGACACATTTTTTAAACTAGATACCCTAATGACGATTATGGACAAGTTTGGTTAAATTTGTCTTAGTAGTTTCAGAGGAGAAGATTTTTGTAAAAGATCACAAAAATTTACGAAAAATGGTTAAAAATTGACTATAAAGGGCAATAACTTCTTAAGGGGTCAATTGACAATTTTGGTCATGGCGACTTATTTGTAGATCTTACTTTGCTGAACATTATTGCTGTTACAGTTTATCTCTATCTATAATAATATTCAAGATAATAACCAAAAACGGCAAAATTTCCTTAAAATTACCAATTCAGGGGCAGCAACCCAACAACGGGTTGTCAGATTCATCTGAAAATTTCATGGCAGATAGATCTTGACCTGATAAACAATTTTACTCAAATGTCAGATTTGCTCTAAATGCTTTGGTTTCAGAGATATAAGCCAAAATCTACATTTTACCCCTATGTTCTATTTTTAGCCATGGCGGCCATCTTGGTTGGTTGGCCGGGTCACCGGACACATTTTTTAAACTAGATACCCAAATGATGATTGTGGCCAAGTTTGGTCAAATTTGGCCCAGTAGTTTCAGAGGAGAAGATTTTTGTAAAAGTTTACGGAGGACGGACGCCAAGTGATGAGAAAAGCTCACTTGGCCCTATGGGCCAGGTGAGCTAAAAATAGAAGCCATGTGATTAAGACACTATTTCTAGATAAATCAAACTATTTTAGTCTTTAGTATTGCATTGTTCATGTTGTTAGCATTTGAATTTCTGGCAATACAGTTGAACGGCAAATCCTGAATCTGACAGATAGAGTTTCAATTTGTTGACAAAAAAAGTACCCGTATGTAAAATGTTTACGCCCACAAACAACGCCACCTATAATTTTTTCTACGGCGTCTTTGAGAACGATGTTCCGTTCTGTAGTAAATTAAAACATTAAATTAACTAAAACATAGAAAAGTAAGTGTATAAAACTAATTAAAAGATATATTTGCACATGACTGGTTATGCATGATACGCTGGCAATGTGCGCAATGTCCTTTAATCCAAGATTCAAAATTAGTTTGTTTCCTATGTCAAAATGGCGGATTCCAATGTTTACATTTTTCCATCGATTTGAGAGCTGACCCAAATTTGTATCCAATCATTAATTTGCATATTATGTACTGTGTAGGGTAGCTTATCCAATGGGATTTACTGTTATAAAGTGGCTATACGTTACCATCCATCGTTACAAAAGTGCCATGTGTTTTGTGTGTATAGCTCAGGAATGATGTGTATTCAATATTTACGGTAAATAATCAATGTTATGTTCATTATATTTCCATGCATACACAAGTCATAACAGCAAATGCATTTTTTATAGAACTTATTAGGTAAACAGACATGTTTATAAACTGTTTGCTTTAGCAAAAATTCATGTAAATAAACCCAATGGGTCGTTTTGAATATTCAAGCACAGCAGACAAACACGTGGTAGATTATTGATGTTTGTTTACCTAAATTGCACGCTGTTGTTACTCAATACTTAGAAATAACCATTATCGTGTTATTATTGTTTAACAGCAGATAAAATTAATTTTACAATTGCATTTACTACTTTCAAGAGTTATATAATACACCTTGCCTAAGAAATATGTCTAGCTAGGTCCAGGGACCTCCTTTACTAGGTCCTTAAAAAAAGAGGCTGTAATAATGTACATGATGTAAATTACCATATTTGCATTCCAGCATTTTTTTGCATTTGATATATTTCATATACATGTACATGTATGTACATAGAGAACAATAGAGTAAATGAACATACATGGGTTTAATTCCCACCCTAGGTATTAATGTTAATACTCATTAGAGGTTGGAGCAAATAGGGCAGATTGCAATTGACCATAATGTAGTATCTAAAAATGCTGATTGATGTGGCCAAGTCCTCAACATCCTTTTTTCTAAGTATACAGCAGCTCCTTTAAGGATAGTAAGGGAACACTTTACATATAGTCCAGTGGCTAAGTCCTGTCTT